ACAACGTAGGTATTGTGTCAGAAAAAGTGTAGTTTGGGGGTCGGCCCAGTCTCTATTTAAATTAATCCCATATGTTCTGTTATTTCGTTTACGAGTTTCTCGTTTTACGCGGACCTCCACGGGTTCAATTGACCGCGTAAATGAAGACTACACTGTACACTATAAAGACAAAGAAACTGAAAATGTACATAGTACAGTAATGCAAACAAAGAAAGTAATGTATGTATGATAGAAAGAACAAAGAACAAATTAAACAAAAGAAAGTAGCCTAAGACACATACGACAAAGAAAGTTATGTCACTTATCAATAAAGACAAAACATCAAAAAACAAACACAAGCAAAAACAATGAACAGATGACACATACACCAACAAAAAAATAATAATTAGCATAGACAGTCAATCACAATACATTTATATCCCACAAATTCTATATACAGGTATACAGAAAAAGGACTCACTTACATACGAAGAGAATACGAAAAATTATAATAAATGCAGGTAAGAGAACGGTACAATATAAAAAAAAATCCCATGTGTGAAGAGACAATGTGATGCGAGATCAGTGTAGGCATGACCGCACGTCCAAGTGAGAGGTGAGAGAATAATACGTAGCTTCATGTATTGTATTATGACATTAAAATACATGTAGAGTACTGCACTGTATAATGAAGGTAGACGCAGATGTATGGCGATGTTACAGTCAAAATACTATCTCTATGGGTTAAAAAAAATCTCTGAGCACCATAGGATCAAGCAAGGTGTGGATTTCTGAATATTATGCACAGTTGTTTAGAGTCGTGGTGACCCCAGGTTGTAATTTCTTGTAAAAAAATAGCCTTTGAATGGTACGGCATATATATATATATATATATATATATATATATATATATATATATATATATGTATGTATGTATGTATGTATATATATATATATATATATATATATATATATATACGGGGTACATAAATAATTGATATATATATAAAGAATATGATAATGAGTGTTCTTGTGGTATGAGGTTATAGATACATGTGTATGTTGTCGTTCCATCATAATTATGCAACGTTTTACCTTTACAGTAGGTAAAACAACTATCTGTGCATACTTTGTGGGAACAATATGAGACCATGGACGATAAATTTTGGTGTATGATGGCTGTCACTAGTCACACGTAAAATTTCGTAGCATATCGACCCCCACCTGCACAGATAGTTGTTTTAGCTACTGTACATGTGATTTCTAATAATGGTGATTGTCTGGCATTTTCCCACAAGAGGGAGAGGGGGGGGAGAGGGGTCCAGAAATAAGCACTGTTCCGTTGCTTTAAACACTGCACAGGCGTTACTGACAACCTTTCACACAATGATTTAAGCCTGGCCATGCCCTTGGTTGTTTCATTGTCAGCTCAGAATTTCAAAATCATGTCAGACAGCTTCTTATATCATAAATCAGTATGTTTCTAGCATCAAGCTGTTGAACAAGTTTGAGCGCTGAAACACCCTAGTCTAGTTTTTATAATATTTTACTGTATATCAGCTTTTTGCATGATAATAAAAATAAGAGGATTACGATAACTTAGAAGCCATTGTTTGGGTAGAAAATCAAAGTCTCTAATGGCAAACAATATACTGTAACATAACAGATCGCAAGACATATTTCAGGAGGCCTATGAAAACACTACCATCACATACTGTACATCAGCCATAAAGAAAGATGGAGGAACCTACAGTACACTTAAAAAATAGTCTATCACAGTAAGACAACAAATACACTACATAAACAATTAAAAATACAATTACAAAAGATTACAAATAATAAAGACAATGTAGGTAAATGTAGCTACGAAAACTAAGACACAAGAAAACAAACAAACAAAGAAACCATTAGATACAAATACACTAACTATTTCAGAAAGCAATGACAAAAACACTAGCAAAAACATTATGCATAAACACATAAAAACAAAGAAAATACACACAAACATATAAATGAATAAATATTAACAAAGACACAAACGATGAAATGTAAAAATGACAATAAAACAAAAAAAACAAGCAACAACAAAAAATACAGTAACCACGAACAAAGACAACATTCACAAATAAAGCAAAAAGAAGAAAATATGACGAAGAAAACACAAATAAAGTTAAAACAAAAACAAAACCACATCAACAAATCCATAACAAAGAAAACAAGTGAATAATCCCATGACAGAGACAAACAAATACATCCAAAACAAAGAAATTATATTTGTAGAGACAGAGGAGACGAATCAACCGTAACGTGACAAAGAAAGTGAGGATAAGTGACAAAGAAAGTGAAGACAAGTGACAGAAAAAGTTACAAGAGACAAAGAAATGAAGATAAGTGACAAAGAAAGTGAAGACTAGTGACAAAGAAAGCGAGGAATAAACAACGAGCAAAGATAAACGACTGACCTAATTTCTACGGACATCAATAATAACAAAACAGAACTACCCATTCCCATCAACTTCAGTAAATGTTTTCAGTTAATCTACAATAATTTGGTCCAATATGTCTACAGAAACTACATCCTTAAAGGGTAGAATATATGTACAGGTATATAATTAAGACAAAATGGCTCTACTCTACTGTACACTATGTTGGAATGATTTTGTAGATATACAGTAGATAAGATTTTGAAAAAAAAAAAAACTTGTATGCTAAAAAAAAATATGTGAATAGTTCCAAATGTAAGAAAATATGTACAAAAACAATGGAAAAGTGAAGAACATTGAGACAAAACAATGTGGAAATTATTACAAATCCCAAACATTGCATTTAAAAAGAACTGTTTACATCTGGACAACAAAACAAACAGCGTTAATTCTTTTCTGATCGGGAGAATTTATATTTTTAAGATGTGAAACCAAAACAACGCTGGAATCAACAGCACCATTAAACTAAACCGACTTTAAAACCCAATAATAGTGAAGAAAATACAATTAACATTCATTAGACTAAATATGAATACCGGGTAATGGTTTAACCAAATTGACAGGTCTGGTATATTCAATAAGTTAACCATTTGTACAGTTTCATAGGATGTACTTGATGACCCACTTTTACTATGCAATACAAGCCATCTAGTTCTGCAAGAAGGTTGATTTTAGATTACCAAGTACCTTGTTATGATTCCTAGGAGGCAGATAGTTTATGGGACAACTACAGTATATGGTAAATCCCGTTAACAAAGGCCAACGGTAGTATCACAAACGATGATAGCAATAACATGACTACAGTTCGTAAAATTGAGTACAGTACTGTAATCCGAGTACAATTTTGACTGTTGTACCGTATTTTAAACCGAGTTAACCAAAGTAAACCTACATAACTATTGCATAAACTTACAATAACCAGAATTCAGCCTAACATCTTATTGTGTGGTCATTAAGAGTCACGGTACATTACATCACAGTCACAACAACTTGGTGAAGGATTATCAAACACAAGGTACAAGTGTCTAGAATGACTCAGCAGACTTATTATTGGTTGGTTTTCTTTGGAATTTTTAATAAAGTATTTGATTTAATGAATAAAATCCATATCCAGAGGTGAAAAAATTTAACAAGCAAATGGTAAGCAGGCCTCTGTACCTTTGGTGAACTAACAGTGATACTACATAGCAAAATTTTTCTGGTCTGGTAAAGTCAACTAATTTGCAAATATCATAAAAACTATACCCTATCACTTCCTTATTATATTCAAAGAAACTTATCCATTATCTGATCGAGGATTTACATCATAGTAAAACAAATGATTTAATAAAAGTCCCCAAAAAACAAACTCCTTTATATATCCCCGGTGATGTTCAAGACATTTACCCACAAAAGTACCCAATACAAAATACATGTACAGTATACTGTATTTGAATGTATTATATTATGTTATTTAATCGAATTTTGTGCCTCACTATGAAGTTGTTTAGCTACTGAGTGTCTTAACAGGTGGACGAGCACAGTAAACAATGTGTAAAGTTCTAATGATTTCATACATGTCAGGGGTCTGTCTAAACTGTAATATTCAACCAATAAACTGAAGTTCAAATAAATAAAATATTCTTTCATTTTTATATTTCCTGTAAAGATATGACTCTCATATGAAACTAAGTTAGAAATATATCCTAAAATAAAGACTCCTCATGTTAATTAATGTCCTTACTGTTAGTTTAGTAAGTTTTAATATTAATGGACCATAGTTTATCTTGACACTAATCACTGCCCAAGACAGATCACATTAACAAAAGAAGTATCATCATTATCTCCGTGAAATGATTAAAACCTGGATATATTAACTGTTTTCAATGATCATTTGCCATGACTGCAAAATTAAAATAATATTGACTAAAACTGATACTAAAATTAAAAAAAAAAAATCGAGTATTTTTGTTGTTTTAATGCATTACACACGTAACTGGAGACAACAAATATATTATACCTGTAAAATAATAAAATAGTCTAGTGTACATAAAAAAAACACCTGACAGCTATAAAAACCTTGACATAACCACATAATAAAATTTTGCTTTGTTAAAAAACATACCAACGTCAACAAGAATATATTTAATTCCGCTATACACCTCATGCACAAGCTTAGACCACCTTGCACAAAGCTTTTCAACTGTCACAGCTTCAGCTTACACATTACCAGAGTCAACTACAAAAAACCTTGATGGTAGGAATTTGAATAACATGCCATCTGTGAGAGACAATGTACGTGCTCCTCTCAACCACCCACTTCATACTAACTTACGACAATAAACGAGTCATCTGAGACACTTAATACACACTGACTTAACTACTAGTGCACAAACTCATGGTCAGGTACTCATTCATCACTTATTATTTGCTAGGAGGATCATGAGAGGTATTATAGAATGACTCAAGTGAGTTTCCTGAATACGGACCTTGGCTCTTCACTCTAACCAATGCACTACATACCACACGATACTTCTAAATTAACCCCGAAAAGGATACAGTTTGATGACATCAGTATCCATGCGACGCTTTCCTGCACTAGGTGATGACATTTTGGTAGGTGTTGAAGGGCCAAGAAGCCCTAATTCCAAGCCAAATAATGAGCTTCACCTAGTACGACTGAACACAACACACAATGGCGACCTTCTGAGACCTCATGACGTCACATCTAACTAAAAACCCCAACTTCTTCCTCAGACAAAGACAACTTGCTATAACAGGAGCTCTAGTGGGATTATTTCGCTCGGAACATGTAGAAAAAAATATCCTCTAATATATTCAGTAGATATTATAAAAAATTATAAAATAAAATGATATAGTTGATACATTTTCTGTTGTTCTTAAACACATCGATCAGTTGTCGTACGTCGCCTTCTCCTAAACTCCGCCCACTAAACTTATCGTACTTTACACTAAACTTTATCTACACGTTTGATCTATTTTAGAAATATTTTACGCATCGAGGCTAATATATCAAAGAATAAAGTAATAACTCTGTGTAAATTTAAACTTGGGTTTTTTGGTATTATTAAGTGGGTGTGAGTGTAGCCCCGCCCCCCTCAGTCACGTGACCAGGATCAGCTGGGGAGTGTAAACAAATCTGGCGTGGTCTTGTTATGGCACGTTTTCTATGTTACGTTTACCAGGAAACTCTACCATAAAAAATATAAATATAAATACTAATGTAATATTATTTGATAAATAAATGGAGAAGAATCAAACACCAAGAAATATAAATATCTGTGTCTTACATTACCCTGGAGTACTTCTGAAATTGTCTTCCGTATTTAAGGAAAATAAACTTAGTTAATAACCTTTTATGTTTTAATGTGACATAGATAAAGACTTTAGAACTGTGATGTACCATCATTAAATTTATCAATATTTGTGTTGAATATTATTTAAATGAATTTAGGTTAAGTTGGTTGTTTGAGCGTCCGACATGCAATTTTGCTCCTTAAAATAGTAGTTACCATGTGCACAATGATTGTTTCATAATATAACTGAAGTTCCTCCAATTTATTTGAATGTTTAGAATTATTAAATTGTCTTTAGTTGATTCTTGCAAATTTTAGCACAAGCTGCAGTTTCCTTGAATTACTTTGAAATGGCATCGGTAATGCCTTTTTACATATTAATTCAAAATAAACATGACTTAAAACCATTTTATAAGGTAATTTGCCATATGCATGTTAACATGTGGTTTTAATATGTTGTCAGCTTTCATGTGTTTCCGGCAGGTGATTTAAAGAAGTGTCGAGCCTTGTGCATTATGCCACTCCTGATGACGTCACAGGTGAACACAGGTGACACATGACACAACGCCCGATAACCTACTACTTTATCCTTCATTTATTATACATAAAAAGTGTTTACCATGATGTCAGTGTTCTCCTCTCTCTCTCTCAAACTTTTAGCTTTATCTATCTCCAGTCAATTATCTATTATCTATCTTCAATCTATTATCTTCCCTTGTATGGTGTGGCTCAAGGGGTATACAGAAATTGGGAGAAAATGGGTGAATATAGAGAGTGATGTAAGACAAGTGTAGAAAGTGCTTTCGTTTCTTCTATGTTATTTTTTGTAGTGTTTAAGAATGATGAATAACTACATCAATCTGTTTTTTCTTCTCTTACGTATATAAATCCTATCTACAGTAGAGGTGGGATTTAAGGACAGTACTTTCAAGTAATCCCAGATTTCATTAGTTTATTTTGGTCAATGTTATGACTCAGTATATATTGTACAATAAAAAAATATATGAATAGAAATGTTAAACAGTTGTATATCTATTAACTAGCAGAAACTGGACTGGTCTGTGTATAATGTATAATACAGTTTACATCAAATAAATAAAATGAAACCTAATTAGTACCTGGGAATAAATAAATTAAAATAAATACAATACACATTAGAATAGTATATAAGTGATCTCATGACATTGTAGTTATTTAATGATTGTTGTTAAGAGGAAAGTTAGTGAGGTATTTTAATTACAGGCATCAAGGAATGTGTACTGTACTGTTAACCTGAGTGTTCAATATTTCACGGCTAGAGAGAAGGAAGTAGAAGAATGGAAGGAGAGAGAGAGAGAAAGAAGGAAGGTAGTAGATGAATGGAAGGAAGGAAGGGGGAGGGAGAGAGGGAGAGAGAGAGAGTTACAGAAGAATGGAAAGAGAGAGAAGAAAGTACAGAAATAAGAATTGAGAGAGACAAGAGGTGGATGGGCCTACAGGCAACCATTACCATTACACATTCTTCTCATTATTATAAATTCAAAAGTGTATTTTATAAAAGAAAGAATATGACTTCATATTTTTAATTAACAAAATGAAAGGTATCCCTAGGTCTAGGTGTAAAGTATGAAGACAAACACACACTCAAACTTACCAAACTAATAGTCTTACCAGAATACTGAACAAAATACTGTACTGTAATACATTTCTTCAATACATAATCACCTGTATTGTACTGTACTTTGAAACTACTGAGTTACTGTATTTGTTGTTTAATTGGTGCAGAATTAAGCAATGATAATTTTTTGTTATTTATCATGTGTATTTATGTGTTTATTGAAAGGAAAACACAAATACTGTAAAGGTGAAGTAAAGTTATCATCTTTTCTTGAGAATATGAGTTAGTTTACAAGAGGTAAATTAAATACATTATTTAGCATATCTGGGTTTCTATACTTTTCTTAAAGACCCAAAAATCTGATATGACACACAACCACAATGAGTGTTGTTGAAGCCTTACACTCGAGTCCATTATCATGGCCTTAAGAATCTTACATATGTAAATAATTATGCACATGGGCAAATATATACCGTGTATAATATATATAAATGACAATATATATAAATATATATTTATATATGTGTAGTAGTATGGGCTTTAACAGGTATCAGGAACAAAATCTGAGATCCAAGAATCTTTGGTAGAAAGTAACTTTAGTACAGTACTACAGTCCAGTACTGTACTTTACTACAAGTAATGATTTCTTCCACAGTGGGAAACCTATTCCACCTTCTACCACAATAATGGAGGGAAACTATAACTTGTGGTGTTAAGAACATCAAGTGCAACATTACCAGCTTTACCACACAACTGCTGAGTCTTTCTTTCACTCAGGGAGACAATTTACCCAAGAGAAACACATTTTAACACACAGTACCTCTTGAAATGTGTACAGTAGCTTATGGATCCACAGCAAAAGCCAAAATATATAAAGAACAAGTCATAAATTTAGCACAAAAAGACAAATAGATGACAGTAAAAAAAAGACAATGTGACCCCCAACCTTACAGGAGGACACTACAATACAGACCATCTTGAGACAATATGATCCACTATCTCAATATTATCACAATAGTAAAGGAAGATTTATATATATACTTAAAAAAATATTAACCAGATGAGATGAGGTGGCAGTTGTCAATCATACATATTGTCATATGTGTGTTTGAACATTCACATCATGAAGTGATATCAGTATAGTGGAACACTGTAAACATGTAGGGAATGAACTAAACACCGCTATAAATACACTGCTTCAAACATTACACTTGCTTTCTCAACTAAACATCAACTTGTTAATATGTTTTTCAATTGTATGTCTTCTGTGTAAGGCTTATTATTCCCTTATGGTGTTATTATGCTCATAAATGATTAATAATACAGTACCTATAGCAGTGTTCTATCAATTACTAACCTCTCTCATTAACAGCTTGGAGACTAATGTAGCTAATTCCTCATATTTCATTAATTAATCAGGAATCCCAATACTAACACATCACTTTAAGAGAATCTGTTCACAAACATAAAAATTTCTCCTTTTATTACAGTGACCACTACCAGGTCATGTCAGCTACTGTACTATAAAATGTTTACTGTAATTAGTCTCATAAATATACCTGTATTCTAAAGTGGTATAAAAGAGCCTCTCTGACTAACCACATTTTCCCCTTAATCCTTAAATTTCCTCTATCAAAGCTCTTATAACTTTTTCTTCATCTATAAATTTTGCAAAACACACACAAACTATCTACTGCAACTTGCCCCTAATTCACACCACCTGAGAATGACTTGGACTCCTTTCATGATGTAATTATTTATCTATTACTTTCCTTTTGAGATATATACTACTGATTCATAACTATTTGTACAGCTTCCCTAATCAAAGCAACTTCTACTACAGTACTTCAAGTCACAGAAATAATGGTACTCTCAATATAGTAACACCTTATGAGACATGGTTCTACCGGGGTGACATTCATAGTTAAGTGAAAAAGGTCCACTAGTTTTAGGCCATCATATGATACAGTAACCAACGCTAATACTAGACACTCACTAAATAAGCTCAATTCTGCCATACATACACACTAAGCATCCCTTCATTACACACTGAGCATCCCTTCATTACACACAAAAGATCCTTCAAAATACAACTTTCTATAACCCCACTTCAGCCCAAAACCCAAAATCTTGTGTCTTCATTCATCTATACAGGACATTTTACAAGTAAGTGGACGTTCATATCAAATAGTTTCCCCTTCAGTCAAGACACAACCACAAGCTATAATCTACACAACCAGATCAATCAGTTAACCATCATCATTCCTCAAAAAATAACTCGACTCTGCATACACTCCTCCTCCTATCACCTTCTCAACGATTACCGACACATCCATCTTCTCTTTAAACTCAGTAGCTCACACACACAGAGCCATGATCAGATACAACGGACTCACATTTTTTCATTAATGTATAATCCCAAAACTTTACTTCATTTCTGTGATATTATATGAAGAGCTACAATTAAAGAGGCCTGTATATATGGGTGTACATGTAAGCATATTTACTAAAGAGAATTTGTATTTGCACATGTTCAATTATGTTGGTATAGGCAGGCTTATGTGCACGTGTAAGAACATTCAATAATCTGGGAATGTGTAGATGTGTACAGTTTATGTTTATGCATAAGTGTACCCTGTATGAGGAAGGATATGCATGTGAACTTGTATGTATCCACACCTTCATATGTAAATGACCTATGAGCATTATATGAGCATGTCAGCATTTATATTACAATAGCATATTTCAATCACTGACTTATGAGGAACTCGTAAATCTTCTTGTATTACTCTATAATAAAACTGAATAAACACCAACAAGTTAGACATTTCATCACATTAACGAGAGTAAATGAGTAATAACACCTGACCGTCATAAATTACATAACAAGGCTGGTAGCACAACCTTACTTCACATCCTAAAAATTATGCAACAAAGTTATATTAAATATTGCACTGTAAACAAAAGTTTGGTCACCAAGATGGAAAATTAACCGTGATGAATTTTAGTGGTTGGAAGTTAACAATAATACTCAGTAACTTTCACATCACCATTAGTTGTTACTTAACCCCTTGTGTATGGGGTCTCTCTCTCTCTGCTGAATAAAATCGCTTAGTGTTAGCCAAATAAAATACAGGTATTAAAAGTGGCGTCCGTGGAAAAAAAATCATAACTACAGTAGTTAAACCTAAAGGCTTCTGGAAAGTTAAACCCCACAGTTTTTTTAATACAGTAATATTTTTTGAGGGGCTTGTTAGGTCATATTCTCATCAAAAGAAAGGTATGATGAGTTACCCTGGTTAGTTAAGACTAGATTTAAAAAATAATTCTATTTTCTTTGCCTGCAACTCCGATATGATATAAACTGCTTCTGCTACAAGTTTCTACACAATTATTGTCCATACAAGGGAGAGGAGGAGGGGGATGGACTGAATATTACCAAGACGTCATCTAGTGCACAGTGTTCACAAGCTGTTCCCCATTATTACTAGCATATAAATGCATAATTATTGTCACGCAGTTGAATGATAAAATGGGCATATGATATGGTACTGTTGACAAAAAAGTACTGGTTAAAAATATATGTTAAGTTATCTGTTCAACTCCAGAAGATGCTACATAACTGTTGATAAGAACTTTATAATAAAGAATTTTAGTCCAACTGATCTTGGAAATCAATTACAGTACTGTACAGTAGCATATTGAAAATATTGTGGTAGGGAATTGTATTTACAAGAACATAATTAATACACCACTTACAATAATGAGAGTGTTGAATAGGTTAAAACCTTAACTCTGAAAAATTCAAACTTATTTCAGTATATTAAATATATATACTTCCATGCCGTGTGTAGTGACATTCAGTCTGTACTTACATTGAGTGCAGTATACAGTAGAGTACTATATACCAACACACGCACATACATTCAAACTCCTACAAAAATGCACCTGATATGCCAGTAGAAATCTTACAATAACAAGACATGACACATCAACTGGTACTGAGACTATAGCAAAAGATTCTTGTCCTACAAACAGATGACCAACAGAATAAACTCATTAAAACACATGTCAACACATGTCACAAACTATTACATATACAGTATATATTACTGTAGAGACCATGTTATGTGAAATGCAAATTGCAATAAAAAATACAGTACTATTTTATGTTATTTGGTTATGGGAATATATTGAGAAAATTGTTCACTACTGTACATGAAATACCATCAATGAAAACTTTATTCCCCTGAAACTGAACACCAATAGGAACTATAATATGTCATGAAAAACAAACTGACTTCTAATTCTAACCTAAAGTAACTATAACTCTGGGGTTTTCACTATACTGTACTGCAATCATAACTCAAGGAGCCAGTTTGAGTCCACAGTCCAAGGCTGGGTTCATTATTACAACAGGCTCACCACAGTTCCTCACCCTCCCAATAATGTGACGGATCAAGAACTTAAAAATGAGTCTTGTTTTGGGCTCCACAACTTGTGTTTAACTTAACTCTGAATTTCATTAACTTTAAACTAAACTTAAAGCTTTAATGTTTTGATATATCATTTACAAAGGTACATTTATTATTTTCAGGTACAAATGATCATGGCATAAATTATATCATACTGTAGAACATAGCATTACAATATAGTCAATACAATTGTGGACAAAAGTTCATTCCTCACTGTGAAACTGAGCCATGGGAACGAGTCTCCGAAATTTCTTACCCTGACAGTCATCGGGTTCGGGTATGCTGATTTATTTCAATTGGGGTCGACACTGCTTCAGTTTGGGAGGGGGGAGGAAGGGAGGGGGGACTCTTGCCCCCCAACTGTACATATAAACTATACAAACAAAACGAACCTCAACAATAAGCAATAAAATTTTCAGCTTCAACAAGAACACTTAACACAGTATAATACCAATTCCATACTTCTTCAATCTCCCTCACACATTCCAAGATCCAATAAAAATAATTTCCACTCAACTACAATAAACTATGTGAAGAAATTACCAAATATATGTACGTATAAGTATATATTGAGGAGATATAGAATCTTGTGTTGGAGTGAAGCTATAATATATATTTTCCACTTAGAGGCAATGATCATCAAATTGGGTATTAAGACAAGCTGAATATAACAGAAACACTGAACTAAAGTGAATTCATCAGTACAGTAGCAGATCTTTTTTGTTTGTAAGTTTTGTACTGATATTAATGTGATAGTGTAGAGTATAGTATGTTCTATTAAAATCTATTAATACAAGTACTTTCATTTTAAAATCAACACAGGAATTAGACCAAGTGTTAGTGAGTGGAAACATTGGATCTTTTTAGGTTATTTAGTTATTGTGATGCTGATTTGATTGTTTCTTCGCACCTGTCTACTGTATGCATAAACTATTACCCAATTTAAGCTTCACTGCAGTCTAGGGTTAATAGGTATCATTCATCATTATATTGTCATGACTATTAAACATACATAGCAAACAGTAATGATGGGAAGTATAATATAAAATCATATATAATACAAACACTCTCTAGTTAAATTGGACGACGGACATACAGTCTCCAGGTAAAAAATACATCTACAGTTTCCCATCAAATAGTACTGAAGACTGTAAGCCAAATTAATAAGAACATCAGTGTTTTGTTTATCCTTCCTGTTCTCTTAGTCAAATGAGAAGAGACATTATGAAGATTACGAGTAAGATAATAGACCAATAATCTCACAGTAGGACGAATAAACTCAAGATTCCCAATACAGTACAAAGGATCGTACAAAACCTAAACGTAACTCAAATGGAAATAAATACGATGGTCTCGATTCACTGAGGATGTATGACAAACCTTACCAGCCTCAACACACTCCTGGTTCACTGTGAAGGATACCAATGGTGACAGTTTATGTGATGAACATGTGCACATATCTGGTGTGTGATTAGGAAGTATTCATGTGATGGCTTACACACATGACAACTACTTATGAGAACGTGCACATATTTGGTGTATAAAATAAGTAAACTGTGATAGCATGTGTGTGTGTTGGTGAATGACACAGATAAACCATGCTAATGATTCTCTGTTATACATGGCTCTACTCTGGTTAATAATAAGTGTGCCTGGGTGATCTACGTTCATCACACTGGCCAACAAGACACAGTATTTGCCGTAAACTATTCTTACATCCAGATCACATAACCTGTTAATGCCAGGGGCTAAAATATATTCTCAATGCTATACAAATGAGGCATTTTGAGTGGCATTTAAATACTGTAGTTTGACTTTATCAACCTTGTAATTATAGTTTAGCTGATTTTCAACCTTATAGACAAATACTTGTAGTCAATGCTATCAGTTTTATGGCTGGACAACACACACTACATTATGGAAACTATTACCAATTCTTATATCAATATTTCCAATATCCAAAATATTTGAAATTTTAACCATCCACAATAAGGCAGAATTCACAATTATTCTATTATTACAAGACTGATTAGATAACCCAGCAGTCTTAGTCACGGCTGGGTCTTCATTACGAACACAAACAGCCTACCAAAAGCTTGAACATTATCTAAGATGAAAATGGTTAAGTACATATAATATTCACAGAGACAATGAAGTAAGCACAAAATTGAGGCGCTTCCATTGATAGTGATGAATCGACCAATGGCGTCCAAATCAGATTCTCAGGCTTCTTGTTGAAACAAGAGTCTGATTTGGGCACCATTGGTTGATTCGTCACTACCAATTGGAGAGCCTCAATTGGTACTCCGGTACTTTACATAGGGATATAGAGGTAAGCACAAGTGATAATCTAGTACATAAATTACATATATATTGATTTTTTTAGAAAATCTTCGACTAACTGAATCATGATATACTAAATGTTCACCTAATATTCCCTTCCTCTTTGATCTCCTACCATGGAGCTCTGTGATAATGTTCTTTCTTTGACTCATTGCTAAACACGTGAGTTGTCTTCATTCAACTCTTCTTAGACTGAAAGCAAGACAGTACATGCAAGGCATTTAACCACCTCAGACAAACACACACCTAATCATTCTCATGTCAGAGAAACAACACAAAATCCATTATCATCCCTTGAAAATATTTGCACTTTAGCCGATTGCTTCTAAAAGTGAAACAATCTCCGTATGCTAATCTTTCTCACATATACTGATTAAAAGTATACTTGTGCTTCCCTAGTTGGTACACAGTCAGTGCATCATATTCACACCTTTACCACTGGCCATATACCTTTGTCATGCATTGTGTCTAATCGTCACTGATGGGACAATTTGGCACAGCCTTTAAAATGTCAAGACACACCAACTAAAACAACACAGTGTTAAGTGATCACAAAATATGAATCTAAAGGAAGATAATGAAGAGATTCTAATAATAGTATTGTATAAGTAAAGGAACTCAAGAATCAATTACTAACACAGTGAAACATTAAACAACACAACTAAACAAAACAATGAAATGACTAATTAACCAAACACTCCCGAGTGCATCTTCCGAGGGCCGTCTTCAGTCAATCATTCAATGCAACAAATCTTCTTCAATCTTCAACCTAAACTTAGTTCTGGCAGTATTCATTTGTTCATATTGGCTCACGCAGCGACCCGCCATACCTTTGGTGGGGAGGAAAAATTTATTAGATGGAGAAACAGGACATTGAGCAAGACCTAAGAGCTATCAAACTCAAGAAACTAACTTAAAAAAAGAGTTAGTTACCAGAGTGTAACACATGCCAGGAGACTTACTGTTCTTCAGCTCATTATCTTTGTGTAATTCTCTGAGAGAAAACCGTAATACCATATGATAGTTTTGGTCACACTTCAACTACATGTCTACAAATGCTCAACCTTTTCAGAAGCTCACTTTCCCCCGAAGCTTGAAGAAGCCAAGCTCCGTAGCATTGTGAAGTAGAGATGCAATGCCTACATAATTCTCAATAACAATAGGACTCTGGCTGACAGAGCAGGTTGCTGCTGTATCGGGCCGGTCCAGCATGTTCTCTATGGCTAACTTTAGCTCCTTGGCCAAGCTCTTGGCATCATAGGTGCTGTTTTCACAACCTGAAAGTAAAAAGGTTTTAGTTACATGTTATCTCACACTCCGATAACAAGGGCATCATGAGGTGACACATTATTTGATAATATATTGTTCACCAATATCAAGGAAAAGATATTATGCACTTATATTTTTAGCTGTTCACCAGTTTGTACTGTTGTATCAATAACAATTATGGCAGCTTTAATATTCTGATCTTTTCCAAATTAAAGTGTAGACCAAAGTAACCATTAAGGGAGTTTATTACTGTACCTGTGTACCAATAAAGAGGATGTGAGGTAAATGTTGTGTAAGGAATATCCCTACTCCAAGGGTTCCACTTCTGAGCAAATGATATCTGGTGTCCGTTGTTCCACGTCACACGGAAACCTTGCATGTTGCGTGCCCTGAAAAAGGAATATTTGCATTTATGAAAGTACGTAACTGATACTAATTTATTTGCATTTGTGAGTTGTCATCCCAAATTTCATCATCAAAGTTAGTTCAATAATGGCAGACAAATTTTTACATATGAACAAAATTTGAGACTGATCCTGAAAAGCTATTGTATAAGTAAGCATGAATTGGTAACACACAAACACAGCATCAAGAGGTGTACAGGTTGACCCACCAGTATATCCAAGACCCCTAGCTTGTGTGACTGAGGCTAAATGCTGAAAAATCCAGCATATCATCTCTCCCAACTAAATTATAGCGCCTAAAAAGGCAGTACAGCGCATGCAGGAATCAATCAACAGCTAGGTCAGGTTAGGTAAGATTAGGTTAAGTTAGGTAAGATTAGGTTAAGTTAGATAAGGTTAGGTTAGGTAAATAATTCTTGCCTTGGCTCAAAGCTAACAGTCGAGAGGGAAAACTGGTTCTCTGGCACAGTTTCTTTCTGCGGTGAACTGGGAGCTCCGGTCGCCCGTGAGCTGAGTGTGGCTATGGTGCTCTGAAGGCGACTCAACAAACAGCTGCGGATGACTGTCACCACGCCTCCGGCAATTCCATTTATCCGACTGTCAACAGAACACGTTGTTTAAAACAAATATATCTGGATATCTGTATATTTATGATGTTTGGTATCTACGCTAACTCCAAAAAGTATCTTTATGGAAGTGTCCGATGAATTTCAAAATAAACATCACGACTCCTGTAGTGTTGTCAAAATCCTCCATCTGTTGTGTCATATTACCTCACAAAAAAATCATAGATACTTTTTGGAATGAACGTACATCTGGTAACCATTATATAGAACAAGAATAATGAGCAATTTTTTAACTAACTACTAAACATAATTATCAAGGATCATCTAACTCCTAAAACGTGTGAAGGCTGGTGGTACAAACTCACGGTACAAGAGAATGGCTCGGGTACGTCAACTCCCCAATCTGAAGATTTTCCAGTGAGGTGAGACATATGCGAGTGAACTCAATGTGACGAAGGGCGATGAAGTCATATTTGACCACTAATAACGACAGCTCACACAGAATCACCACACGTTCCTTCTCAATATCCCAGTGGTTGATCCTGGAAATAATATTCATTCTTAATGACAATATTTACTCTCGACTTACTAGTATTTAGCTTCAAAAGTGATCGACGTACACAGAGAGATTCCTATTCTAATCATATGACTAATCATTAATAAACTCCGATAAAAAACATGAAGAATAACCAATCATATTTACTCGGTTAACAACCATGCCCCTTTGATCGCCCCATCAGTCTCAAGGTCAGTGAGATGTTGGCACTCCTCCACCGCCTGCTCCAGTGCTCCAACTCTGACGGAGAAGAATTCATCTATGGCAGGTTCGCTCCCCGTGTCTGCGTGCCACGAGGCTCGTCGGGGCCGGCCTATAGGAGGTTGCTGATAAAAGGACCGACTCAAACCTAGAAAGAAAATCATCCCTAAATATGTAAAACTGATGTATAAAGTGAGTAATATATCAGTTCATATTTTCTTGTGAGGCTGATCAATTCAAAACTGACAAAAACAAGTTTCTCTTTAAGGTGATTTACACTGTTTACTTGATACAATACAAACTTTTTCCAAAGCTATTAATATTTTTTAATCTTGATATAATTCACCAAACGAGAATGACTATGGTATATTATAACTGATAGGAAGTTAGAAGGAAGAAACTTAGAGCATATATTTCTTAAGTTCTAAAGAATTATCTGTAGAGTTTGCCAGGAAAATAATTTAAGGAAAGGCCAAGAACTGTCTTATTCACAGTTTAAATTCCTGCTTCCAGACGGTCCGAATAATTACCCAAATGTACCCAAATGTAGCCAAATATAGCCGGAATGAAGTCAAATAATGGTCCTAGATGAATAAATCGGACTGCCAATCACTTCTCGACTAGTATTTGGTGTCACAAAGTCACAAAAAATTGGAAAACTTACTTTAATCTGAGTTAATAGATCGCGTGCATGTACCGACGGAGCGAGGAATTACCCAAATGTAGTCGCAATGAAGTCAAATAATGGTCCTAGATGAATAAATCGGACTGCCAATCACTTCTCGACTAGTATTTGGTGTCACAAAGTCACAAAAAATTGGTAAACTTAATTTAATCTGAGTTAATAGATCAAGTGCATGTACCTAACCTAATCTAATCTAACTTAACCTAACTTAACCTAACACAACACAATTCAGATTAAATTAAGTTTACCAAATAATAATCGAGAAGTGATTCACAGCCCGAATTACGCTTGTACGACCATTATTTGACTTCATTCCGGCTATATTTGGGTACATTTGAGTAATTAGTCGGACCCCTTCCAGAGACACAAACCTTGACTACAGTAAAAGTTGTTGGCCTGGTCGGGCGTGGGCGGAGTAACTACATCAGTAGTGGGGTCGCTGATTGCTGTACGCAGGACAGGACGGTTTCTATCATCTACATATCTGGAACGATGGTCAGCACATGAAAAACATTCTCCTCATTTATTAACTTAGTAAAAACGTCTTTAGCTTAATTTTCTGCAAAGACGTTGAATACCAATGAATAAATGACTAATTTTTACTGTATGTGTGTCTGTAAATATGTAAAGTAATCATTATGTGTTTTTGCTCCACCATACTTATATGTAATCAGCTGACTAAATAACCTGTTGCATATAGCCATGTTCACTGCACCTCTTAACTCATATTTCTTGTGCCATAACCTTTTCCACCTTCATAACCCCTCTGTGCCCCAACACCACCCAGTACTACATTCTCTCTCTCACCAGCTGCAACACTACAAGCAACTCATCCTTCATTCAGCCCGAGTTTATGTTCAACTTATCTATACCTGTACACGGAATACCGCACAAGAAATTAATGAAAATGGATGATACATTTTTATAAAAGTAAAATATGGAAATAACCAAACAAGTTTATGGTACACACACACACACGTGGTTCACTTGCCACCTATGACACACACACACACACACACACACACACAGGTTCCCAAAAAGTCATAACCGTTGGTCAGATACAAATGATAATTCCAAAACATTCCTTCAAAATCAGATTTGCAGGTGACTACAATTTTCACAAAATAAAATTGTCAAGAATTATCAAAACTAATCTATTTTCTCCCCAGTATAGTGGAAATACTATTAAATAATAATGCCAAGTTATATGGGAGTCTGCCCTCTAAGTCTCCCACTTTATTAACAGTCTATGATTCTCACATAAATAACTAACGTAGTTCAGATGTACACCTGTATTTGATACACACACACACACCTGAAGTTAAAATTCACCTGTGATTTACAGACATATCTAAGGGTCACATACACCTGTCACCTGTGGTTCACACAACTGCAGGTGACACGCACACAAGTGGTTCACACACTCGTGGTTTTCAAACATAACTTTTATTCATATACACACCTCTAGTTAACATGTACTCTTGATACACACACCTGTGGTTCATGAACCACCTGTACCTGTTGGAGGTGTTGTCACAGTTGGGGCTGACACTTCTCGACGGTTGTCCTGAGGCAGGGTCCAGGCGGAGCGTTGCACCTCTGAAATCATCAATGGGAACATCTTCTAAAATTTCCTCACCTACTGGGGAGGCCATGGCATGCGTACACACTTGGCCGTATTGATTTATGAGAGGCGCCACGGACCTACCGCTCTCTGGCCCGGACCAGATAAATAAACACACGGTAACCGGAGGAAACATCCGATTTGCAATATTATGAATCAAAATTTTTTTAATGTCTAAAATGTTTGTTATCTTGTTTTTTATAAGCTTATATATTATTTAATATATTTAATATTGATGTTTATATTATTCTATGTGAGACTTTTTAATGCAATTGAAGCGATAAATTATCTTTTATGAGGTTTAGTAATCAGAATTTTCTTAAATCAAGGAGGTTTTGACCAATAGAAGGAGAGTTTTCATTACCAGATGTTTTGAGCCAATCACAAGAGAGTTTATAAATAACAGCTGATATCTTCTCAAGTTGGATTTGACAGTTCCGCCTTGACACTATAATGATGATAATAATAATAATAATGATAATATTCAACCTATCTATCTATCCATCCATTATTATATCTATCTGTCTATTTCCCTCTATCTATCTACCGTATCTATCTACATTTAAGGTTCGCCCTTCATGAGACGACTGGACAAACGACGGGCAGAAACACAAATAAACACTAAACAATTAAATCCACTTTTAACATATATTTCCCTTCATTATAAAATATATTTCCAGTCATATAAAATCCCTAAAAACTTCTTATATATCTTAACTCTGTGATATATAATTATTAAAACTATTTTCATAACCAATCTCTCTCGTCAATTGAAATAAGTATAAAAGTATATAAGGCTATGATATATTAATTCATAGATATATTTAAATAGTTACATATGAAATAATTATATATTTAAGGGATTTTATCATTAATGGAGAGTATATAACATAATATAATACCATAAAGAAGTTCATTTTATGTCCTGATAATATAGAGGGAGGTGATGGAGACCCTAGTCAGCTCTACCCATCACAGGTACTAAAAAATCTTGTGGTTTTTATTACCTCTTCACTAACCTCTTTATCTCCTTGCTGTTCATCTCTTATTACTCTTATTTTAACTCCCAGTGTGGTGAGTTATGTGGTGAGTGTATGTCTGGTGTGGTAGGTGTGGTAATGTCTGTGTTCACTCTATAAGAATTAATTATGTTTATTGTTTGTATTTAATTAGCTAGTTATTATATGGTTATTGAGTGATTTAATATGTTATTGTGGTTTTTATTATGTTATTGGTGGTTTATTAACGTAATGGTTCCTGCTTTATTTCCCGTGTTTTTTCTTTGTTTAGTAAAGTAAGTAATTATTCTGAAACAGTATCAAAATTAACAAGGAACTTTAATTGTTCTTGGATATCTTAAAAAAACTTAGTAGGTACTGATATAATCTTGGGTTAGGATTTGGTTAGGTTAGCATTAGGGTGGTTAATCTTTAGGTGAAATATGCTGGGGTGGAGATTCTTCAGGTGAGGATAGGTTAGCATAAGGTTAGGTTATGCTAGCATTAGGTTAGGTTAGGTATGCATTAGGTTAGGTTATGTTAGCATTAGGTTAGGTTAGGTATGCATTAGGTTAGGTTATGTTAGCATTAGGTTAGGTTATGTTAGCATTAGGTTAGGTTATGTTAGCATTAGGTTAGGTTATGTTATCATTAGGTTAGGTTATGTTAGCATTAGGTTAGGTTATGTTATCATTAGGTTAGGTTATGTTATCATTAGGTTAGGTTATCATTAGGTTAGGTTAGGTTAGCATTAGGTTAGGTTATGTTATGTTAGCATTAGGTTAGGTTATGTTATCATTAGGTTAGGTTATGTTATCATTAGGTTAGGTTAGCATTAGGTTAGGTTATGTTATCATTAGGTTAGGTTATGTTATCATTAGGTTAGGTTATGTTATCATTAGGTTAGGTTAGGTATGCATTAAGTTCGTTACTGTACTCTAAAACTCTCTCAACAGCAGGATGGTTCGTGTCATCTCTGTCCACCACTTCACACGGCAGGATGTTGCAGGGTTGGAACACTCTGGTGGCCGAGGGGTCACCAGGGGCAAGGGGGACATACTGCTCGTTGGGGGAGAACACAGTGTTGATATTCGTGACCTGAAGATGGGAGGAATCCTTAACGGCAGCTTCCCGACGGTGGACCTCGTTCAACAGCTGGTGTATTGTGAGACGGGTATGTGACAAGTTTTGGTAAAAGTTTGTTTTTGACTCTATATCCACAGTTGGTGTGAGATATTATTTATTTGGTGAATTTTGGTGTTTTTTTTAATTGATTTTGACATTATTTTTTGGAGGAAATGAACCGTTCCTAACCTAACCTAACTATGCAATCCTAACCAAACCAAACCAAACCTAGCCAAACCTAACGTAACCTAACGTAACCTGTGTAATTAACACTTCTAACTTACGAACGGATAGTTTCACACGGGGTCCAGGAATATAACCAGTTGGTAACTCGGTGACTGGCAGTATTATCTGTCCTTTAATACTACTCTCTCTTGTGTTCTCACCAGGGAACTTTGTGGTGACTCTAGAGACCAAGCCGGCAAGACACGGAGGAGATCACAGATATGTTCGTGTTTACCTTCACTGGGATCAAGATAACACCAACCAACCAATGAGGGCGCGAATTGCAGGACGTGTCACCCCTAGCAGCCAATCGGGCGTCGCTAACTTGGAAATGGTAGAAATTCCTCTACGAAAACCTGCTGAATTTATTTCCTGTTGTCAGTCTACCGGGAATATCGCCGTGGCATGTGGCATTAGCGTAACTGTTTTTAAATTCTGTCAAAAAACTCATGATATGTCGAAGCTCAAGTTCATCGACTTCGAAGAATTACTTGAGTTAGACATGTCATTTATTGTTAAGGAGGTCGACATATCTGAGGATTTGATCGGCTGTGTGTCTGAATCAGAAGCCCACATATTCCAGGTGACCATAAACTCCCACCTCTTAAAGGCTAACTCTGAGGAGAAAGACTCGAAGCCTCAGGAGAAGCGCAGTAAGTCTAGATCAAAGTCTAAGACGCGCTCGGCTTCTCGCTCACCTGGTAGGAGTATTGACACACTCAGTTCTGCCAGTAGACTACGTGAGCGACGGTTAAACCAGAAAGAGGTAAGAGGTGGCAGTTAGTCATGTATCTAGCTGGCTCTTATATATATTTTTTTTATTTCATTTTATCTTTGATGTCGATGCAGTGAAGAGAATGTGAGCAATATTTCTTAAGAGAGGAACTAGAGGAGTGTTTAAGCTTCCAGCTTAAGAAGAGATTAAATTCAGTATTCATAAACTTGGGGCATGTAGGTAAAATTTCCCATGAAGTTTTCAAAAGAGTCCCCAGATAAGCCAAACTATAGGTGAAGATTATACATTATCTATCATTTTCCACCTTGAAACAATATATAATGGGTATATTGTACTACATAGATGATACTGTACCTTGTATATCCAAGAATTAACTGTTTTATTCATAGATATTTTGCTTTTCAGGAGTGTATGGTGTCTATCCGTGATTCCGATGATTATGTGGACTTGGGTGAACTGACGTGGGTTCCAACACTGTCTTATGGGAGGAAGCGCCCCACAGACGACAGCCGCATCTTACTGTTTCCATCCTTAGTCGGAGCTGCGCAGTGTGGACCAGTAGCTGAACCTGGTGAAATTATTGGTCCTGTCAGGTCAGAAAACTTGTGTATTATTGTAGTTATTTTATTTAGTTATTTATGTCTTTTTTTTTTTACATATGTACAATTTCTCGTGATTTTCTAATCCATATATTTAATTTTTTAGGAAATATTTTGAGCGTTTCCTTGGTTTGAAGTATGATAGTAGCTTGTAGGTAACCAGAATGTGTAGTGATTAATGATTGTCTAACCTACAGTATTACATAAGCTGTAATGGGAAGGTTTACTGTTAACCTGGACAATAAGCTCTTGCAGCAGAAACTATCTACTCTCTTGTCTTTTATTTTCATTTGATTTATCATATTTTGGTTTATCTCTCTAGTTCTTCGCGATGTTCCAGTGTTCGCCTAAAACTCCTGAGCGGAAATTCAACGCAGAAGATACCAGCCAATCTGTTCGAGGCGGTGACGCTCATTCACCGCCGCGCCGATCACAACAATGATCCTGATATCCCATTCTCTAACCTGAAGTTAATGGCTGTTTATGACTCAGAAGCCACAAAGAAAGGTACAGAGTGTTCATGTCTATATAACTTACAGTACAAGTATTTAATTTCTATATAACTGCCAGTACAGTACAAGTATTTAATGTGTATAGTATATAACTTCCAGTACAGTAATTACTAATGGCTGTAACCTGTTTAACAACTTAAACATCATTATTTTGGTAATATTTCTCCTTTAGAATTTATCAGATACATTATGCCTTCTTTCTAAACCAATATATCAAACAGTGTCTCAATTTTCCACTTTTTGTTCTCAGAGGGCAATGCTTCCACTTCCAGGAGGTTCTCGCACCCTCTTCTTCCCCTCAGCTCTCCACACAAAGTCGGGGCGTCTATCTTCCTCACGACCCCTCATGTTGGTCAGCTGTATCACGTCACTCTCTTCGAGGACGCTTTTAGTAAGGATCTCGGGTGATACTTGAAATAATTAAGAAATTGTCTTAATATTGGAAAATGATATTAGTTTAATCTGCCATTAGACATTGAAAAGTATCATCTCTGTGAGGATTTATAGAAGTAATGAGTTAGTGAAGGTGGGAAGATTTAGTTGACATTATTTTATTACAGAGAACAGTGTGGTGCGTGGAGGTGTGTTCTCTTATACCGCACCCGTGTACTCGGTGGCCCTAGAACCATCACTCCTTCACGCACTCACCCTCACTGGCCTGGAGACGTACACCCTGAGACCTCACCCACACATTGTTGTCTCTCATCTCCCTGAAGATCTTAATATGATTGTAAGTTTATGCTTTTATGATGGACTTGAATGGTACAGTGATGTATAAATCCTCCTTGATGTTGGCTGATAACTTGAGCAATTATTCTAGTGTAATACATGCAGAGTGAAGCCATTTAAGGTATTTATGCAGGATTGAATGATTCATTATATTGTTCCCTTTGCTTTCACTCCTCTTAGAAAAATTAAACCATTTAAGTGGATGATTAAGGCAATACTTCATGGTGTTATAATTTTCTAGCTTGAACTTTCCACCATTTGCTTGGCTGACAGTGATACAACTTTCATCGTACAGGTGCCTCCACATTGGGAAGAGACGGTGTGTTTAGTGGGATTGCGACCCTTCCTTAATGTGGAGACTCTCACTCTGACTGACTCCTGTCTCGCCCTCACCGCTGCTAATAATGAGTAAGGCTGCTGTGTATTGGTTGTTTTAACAAGACTATTGTGCAGTCCAGTCATACCATTACTTCAGCATTATTTTGATATTAGTTAGTCTTTCACATGCTGTTCAGCCACCACTCAACATAGGACTGAGTATTTTAGGAGTCCGGAAGGGTATATACTGTACATACAGGTATATCCATTGATAACGTAAAAGTTGACCATATTTTCTTGAATTATATTTTACTGATATCCTTGAAATAACAACTATCCTCCTCAGTGGATGAAAACTGTTGTATTAGTAATGGAAGTTTGGTTTATTTTATACTGTCTGATATTTTCTTTTTCATCTGGTTTAGTTGCTTTTCATTGAACAATTTAAAAGATGGTGTTACTTTGTTACCTTTACAGGGGAGGTGACAAGTCACACACAGTTTACTCTCTACATCTACCAAGTGCTGCCAGCCTCTACAAGGAGATGGTTCGTGTGGGTCGTAGCCACAGATCTGCCTCCCCATCCACTTACCTACACCTCCTACTAGAAGCTCACCTGGTCCTCACCACAGCTCTTCACCATGAACTCCCACAAGTTCAGGAGGCTGAGGAGGACCTCTACTCTCTCCTGCAGGACTCTTCAGCATTGCTTGGAGACTACTATGCCCAGTAGGTCTAATGTTGTGCCACATATTTTTGTTATTTCTATCATTCTCTCAAAAGCATCATTTCAGCTATATTTAATCTGTATCTTTCACCTGTGTCCAGAGTTTGGGTTGAATATCAACACTCTATCATTGGCTCAATTATTGTATTCATAATCACATCTCCAATCTTTGTTTCCTGCATTACAAGTTCTGTCTCTCTTAGCCTATTTTGCAGTGCACTTAATACAGTTTAGTACGTTCTTTCATTTACTTTGGCAAGAGTCAAAAATTTATGTTGCCACTGGCGTCCCCATAGTGAAGAGGTTAAGAGAGATTGTTGTGCAGGTGTGAGACTGAGGCAGAGTGGAAACAAGCAACACAGTACTACCAGGTCTCCAGCCTTAGTCCTGATGCAGTGATTGAGCGACTGGATCTTCAGTGTCCTGGCCTTGTAGCTGTGGTCTCTGCCCTGCTGCTTCACCCTAGCACACCTCCTCTGTCATCTGCACAGGTGGGAGAACTCGTCTCTAAACTTGTCCGATATCTATAAACTTTTCCGTATGTGGAGCATAACTTTTGTATTATGTATTTTTATAAAGATTTCTGTGTGAGGTCAAGTAGGTCTAGTAGATGGATTTTGAATATTTTGCTTTTGGCTGATACATTTGTTGCTTTTTATCCACAGGCAAACTGTGTTTTAGAGATGCTAGAGAAGGTTGCCCCAGAGAAAGTGTCCACTATCATTCTCAAGTCCAGCTGCCTCACTGACTATAAGAAGGATAAGGTATACATTTGGGTGTAACGACAGAGCAACATACTGTACCTTTTACTACAGTTTTTATTTAGAGATGAAAAATTTTATCCAGTGATGTTATGGAGTCACAGTAGAGGAATAGAGGGATGTCTTTAAGAGTTTTTATTTTTCCAGTTATCAGTATTTTTCTGTGTGTTTTACCACATTCATTATGATTCAGTTTAATAATGTATCATAATTAAACTCAGGATAAGTTTACAGCACTATTCTTATCCTGTCTTAATTTATTTATTCTAGATGATGCTTATATGTGACAGTTTATGATGACATCTCTCATTTTTCTTTCATGCTGAGTGTAGATGACCACTCCATAATGACTAGTAGCTAAAAGATTACACTTCCTACTACCTATACCACACATGTACTTTGAAGAGTGAGGGAGCTGGCCCTTCACTAATCTATCCTCAGTTTATTCAGCTCTGTTCATTGAGGCAGTGTGTGATGCTCTGTTAATTACAGGTACTTACGATCATCAAGCAAGAGTTGTCCAAGACAGCCGAGCCTCGACCAACGGACGTCTTAGCTCTGGCTTTAGTCTTCCTGGATCGTGGATCTCCCGAGCAGGTGAAGTAATTCTCAGTGCTGATGTTTTCTCCTGTCCTTGTGATCCTCCTTGTTGGACAGTAGAGCCTTGATCGTCCAGAATCCTTCAAAAACTGGCAGAATATCAAAGTAGTTCCATAAATTCTAACTTAGGGCAAAACACCTGAAATTTGGAACACCTGGTACACTCTAGTAGTTCCTGGTGATGGATTTTAGAAGATGATGTGAAAGTATTGACTCCGGAATGATTTTAGGATTTTTTATAAATGGCTAAATTGCAAAAGGATAAAGAACAACATGAAATTATGCTTTTGATTACCCCCACAGGTGTCAACTGTTCTGGCCTCCCTCCGGGCATACCAGCTGGTGGTGGTGCTGCTGCAACACTCACGGCTTCTGCTCACCACAGAGGAGGGGGCCACCAGGCTCTCCCCTCTCACTCAGGTACTATATAACGTAATGGTACAACATCCCTCAACCTTATGAGATTCAGTATGTAAACTATTTCATTATTTGTTGTATAATTATGTAATAAAATGTGTTTTATGAAAGACTAATTAACATTTATCATTTATGAGTTGATTTATGAAAGTTGTAGAAACAAAAACGGTTAATAAAAATCATGAAATATTGGGAAGGAACGAAATATTTTTATAATGTTGCTAATTAGGGTAACTTGTTTCAGGTGTTGGCAGAGCACAAGAAGGAGGTGTTCACAGAAGTGTTTGTCTCCCTTATTGGAGAAGGGATGCTCTCACTTAATGCATTTGTTGATGCGTTTGTGGCTGTTTATCCAATAGTATCCTGTGGACCAGAGTGCAACACACATTCCTTATGGCTGCGAGACTTTCTTGAAAAGTTTTTCTTAGAATATGCTCATAATTCTGAGGTAAGCTGTTCTTGATATTTAGTGAAGTATTTGTACACTTAAACAATGTAATATAGTACAGGGGTATTCTTATTTTGTGTCTGGCTTTTTGTGTATGCATGCACACATATACCAGTATGTGTGTCTTCGGTGCGTACATGTTTCTTGTGTTTATAAGTAGGAAGCATTATTTCTCTTAAATTGCTGCCAAGAATGAATAAATAGTTATGGTAATTGGGCTAACATCTTGAATAACAAAAGAGAACTACAGCTTCTTACATAAAATACCCTAGTGACACCTCCTCCTGAGTCACTGATCAACAGATGATACCTACAGTACCTATATCTTAACTAATGTGATTCTCTCTTTTATCATGTAAACAGATAACTGACCAGCGAGAGAGATATGACCGAGCCATCACGGTGTTGGTGAGCCTTTATCTAGCCAGTCTCATGGGAGCCTTTGGAGATAAAGTGAGTATCCACAGTTTACACATGTGAGTAAACTGTGATAACATAAGGGAACTTTTACTGGTAAGAAGTAATATGATATTTGTTAAAACTAAGACACCAGAATTCATACTTAACCAGATGACTTCTCCATTATCTTCATCAGTCGAAAGAAGATCCAAACTGGAGTGACCAACGAGCTGCCTTGAAAGAGCTTTATGCACCACGACCCATCTTCCTGGGTCTGCTGCCACCGTTTAGTAATGATCAATCACTACAGGAGAGTCAGAGTGGTGCAGCAGAGGACGGAGGAGCAGTAGAGAAAAAGGCAGGAGTTGAGGTTGAGGAAGAGGGGAAAAACCTGTCTTCATCCTTACTGCATCTTGTGGTTCTCCAGGTTAGTGTCTTGGGTGTTGTATCATGTAGGGCAGGGGAGAGAGAGAGAGAGAGAGGAACTGGAGAAGAGAATGGAGTGAGAGGAAAGGGAAAAGAGAATGGAGCGAGAGGAAAGAAAGAACATAGCTAGTCCATGGATGAGGTAGATGGAATTAATCCTCCATTTATAACACAGTGCCTATGGGAAAATGGCTTCCACTCGATGAATTTTTACTCAATATCTTACTTCTATGGAATATATCTCTTTTATACAACAAGAACTGCCAGGTATGTTTATCAGAGAATTATATTGATTGAATTTTGTCTTTTCAGAGTCTCTTGAGCTCTGACTTGCCATCAGTTGAAGATCGTAATAATGTCCTCAAGTTTGTAACATCAAACCCCACTGCCCTGGGTGCTCAGTCCTTGCGGATTCTGTGCCTGGATCCCTCACAGCAGCTGGAGTTCATCTTACAGGAATTCCCTCATGCTCTGCTTCAGTATGGAAAGGTAAGAGGCAGTAATTAATACCCAATGATTGAGAGAGAATGGGTGAAAAAAGTGATTGATGAAATGAAGAATGGAAAGCCTGGATGTTAAAACTTAAGATGATGCTGGTGTGGCGCTGGTAAATACTACAATTATGACAGAATATACTCTTCCTTCTGGCTGGTTGAAGAGAATGATTGTGAATACTTACAAGAAAGTAAAACAATGCAACTTGAATATGGAAACTGTAGGGGCCTTAAGCTATTAGATCAAGATATGAAAGTTGAGAAAAGATGATTGAGAAATTGATGTTAATGAATTGCAGTTTGGGTTTATGCTGGGCTGGGGACTACAGAGGTAATATTTATACCTAATACAATCTTTAATTATTACCTACTCAATCAATTAATTAATCCAATCTTTATTTGACAGGATATGTATGAAACAACACTTGAGTGGGAAGAACTGGTGTGTAAGCTAATAAACCACAAGTCTACCCTCACAGAACCAGACCCGACCTACCAAGTGTATTCTGATATTGTAAATGGTGAGTAGAGTATTTCAGGGCATATTTATTTCACATTTTGATTCACCCTGTAGGAGAGTTTGCTTGTGTTACCTTACTGGACAGATATGTAATGGATAGATGGATTAAATATACATCATTATACTGGAGTTAAAAATTGATAAATAAAGATCATTAGATAAGTTTGACCTATTGTGTGTCAGTTGATAGGCTGTCATTTGAATTTAAGAATGTAGAAAACTTTTGAGGGTTTCTGTGTTATCTGATCCTTGTTTTGCCGACAGATGTCCTGGGTGAGCTGGTGGTGTCGTCGCCGTTGGATGTTTTTATGCGTATTATTCCCACCAATCGGCACGAAGAGTTAAGAGGTCATATCCGGCAGTGTCACTCGGCTGCCCTGGCGGTCCATCTCCGCTCTTCCCTCATGACGTATGCTCAAAATGTCTTGGCACAAATGACTAAATAGTATATATATATAAATCCTCCTTTATCAGCTAGTCAATATGTTTTGTTTTATAATTTATTTGTGCCATCTTAGGTTTTAGATCTGTAAGTTGTTTTATAGTTTTATTCTCTTTGGTTTACAGCTGTAGAAACCTGTTATGTTCTTTTATCAGTTTTATAAATGGTGTGGGAGCTGGTCTTAGCGTCAAGCACCGAGAGCAGGTTTTATTTTTTTAACACAGTCTTAGTCTTTCTCCTTGATACAGCTGTCTAGCTTTTATCACACCGAGGCTTGTAGTACCCACAAGGTTTAGGAGAAATTTTAATCGAATATCCTTACTGATTATCAAATTTTATCTGCTTTCATTATTCTCATATTAATAGTCAATAGCTGAGGTTTACTAGCTCGATTACGCATTACATGGCCGTAGTATAATAGAAATAGCAACCCAGAGAGAATGAGGCTTGATTTGACTGCATCTCTAGTAAATCCAATCTTTTTAATACTCATAAAGGATTATATTGCATTTTTATATCCGACACACACTATAGTCATCAGCATGTTGTTTATGTATCTTCAAGTGGTGGATGAGCTCAACTTTGTGCTCCAGACTAAGAAAAAGAAGATGGAACACCATTTTCTTGCTGAGCGGTTCATTAATGTCGTACTCTCATCGGAAATAAAGGTGCTTAATACGTGAAGATTACCCGAGGTTGTTCCCAATACTCTGATAGGTTAATGGGTTAATCTATGGTGGATACAAAACTGGCCATTCTATCACGTGAAGTCCTTGGTCTATGCCTCTGGGACATATTGTTTCACCATTCTATCCTGTTGGTGTTAGTGGGTGCTGCAACAACTACACATGATGTAGTCATTGTTTCCTAACAGGACTTCAACTTTCATATAGTTACCCTTAAGTTCTTGACAATGTTTCTCTATTATTTTTTGTTATTAAGTAATGTTGTTATTTTTATGCACAAAATCGTATTGTTATTTTATGGTACTCTAGCTTATTATTTACTTAAACAGTAAAGCCCTACATATTGCATCTTCATGTGATGTAAATTTGCCAAGATATGGTACTATTGTTTACATTATCTTACCAGTCCTCAAGAGATGCAGATTGACAAACCAGATTCAAACAAACTGTGGCTAGAATGTGTTCAAAGGTGCCTTGGGTCGTGGCTTTGACTCACCCATCAGTAATTCTTTAATTTTTATCATTCACATAAAATTATTTTTGAAATGCACTCAAGTAAAAGATTTCTAGTAATGTAACAAGTTAGAAGAAATAATAAATTCAACATTCACCTACTACCTTAACCCCAATATTGAATTTATAGGTCAAATGAAATCAGAGCAAGGAAGTACAGTACAGGCATCACAGAGAGGATTAGTCATATATCAGGCCACCTTCCATTGCTAGGGGATAGTTTGCTGGTTTAGAAACTGCTGCAACTTTCACAGGGTAAAATTAATGGGGGAAACTGTTGCCACAAATTACCCACAAAATTTACAAGAACAATTGAAGAGAAACATATACCCCCTTTTTCCTATTAACCTGACACTTACAAAGGCAGAAGTTCACAAGACTTCTGGTGCTGTACTGTACTATGTCGGGTTTTACTGTACAGAAAATGTGATTTAGTATCGATAAACAAGATGTCTTAATTGTTGGTGTTAATGTTTATAGAAAAGAGGGTTAATGGAATAAAAAAAATCTGTATTGTAAGAAATCTATAATTTTATCGCTTCATCGTCGGCTCCGTTGTAAAAGATTCCCCGACAGCCGTTACTTTTTATCAGCTTTAGCATAATTTCCTGATTATGCTCTCAAGTCAGTAATTTTATCCTCTCTTATCATTCGTATCATCAGAGAATCTCAGTGTTTGAATCCCATTTGTTAGGTAATAGCTTTCTGAATATCACATCTCATCCAAGACGTTGATATGTTTTATAGTTTTCAATCTCGTATAAATAAGCTTTCAATCCTATATAAATTACTTTTCAATCCTCTATAAATAACACTTTTTGATCTTATATAAATTAAAAGTTTCAATCCCATATACATTAGCTTTCAATTCCATATAAATCTTTTAGCATCATCACATTACCCCAGCTTCATTAAAACACTCACTTAACTGCCTGACTGTTGAATGAAAAATGACCGGTACCTTTCATTATCAACTGACTGTACGTAGATGATTTGTTGGTACCAATGTTTTGAGGAGAGCAGCTTATTTGTCATCAGTAATTTGTGTACAGTTTGTTCCTTCATGTTTACCTCATCGTGTAATAGTGTGTGTGTGTGTGTGTGTGCGTGTGAGAGAGAGAGAGACAGTATGGATGACAGGTTTTGTGTGGAGGAGGTAAGCCAATCATCCTCTTAAGCTACAAGAAGCAATGTTGGTTATATTATCAGGTCAGTACAGTATTTAGTGTTGGGTTGGTTTTGTCAAATATTTGGTCACCTAAACTCTCAAAACATCAGGCTTAAAGATATATTCATGAGAAAATTACAAGTAGGGGAATTATTATATAAGACTTGAAAGATAAATTGTTAAAACCTCAAGTGAAAATACTCCCATTCAAGATAAAAAAAACCTGAATTTTTTAGACTTAGGACCAGAATTTTTGGTTAGTTTAGATCCTGACTCGTAAATAGGTACTGTATTGCCCTTTATATTGTTATATATCCTAGTCTTGTTTAGTTAGATAATTAATTGAGAAGATTTTTATCCAAGACATAACTTTTATATATGTTAAGAAAACTATCCAACAGTTTTCATGTGTTCATTTGTTTGTAAATAATATATGAGTATTAATTCCAGGTTAAAACTTGAGTGCCATAATAGATAATGATTCCTGAATGAAAGTTTATAATTGAAATAAATTGTTAGTCACATTATATGCTTTTAACTTATGAACTCATAGTTATCTGCTTTAACTTACAAGATCTTAATATATTGTACAGTACAGTATGTGGTTTGTATGAAGACATAAACTTTTCACCATTTGAGTAAGTTAATGGTATAAATATATGTGACGTAATAAAGGTAAAAACACAAGAAGTCATTTTATTGTTACTGATGACTGGGTTCATTACCTCTCCTCTCCGTGTTAAAGAACCTCTACCACCAGAAATGTATCCATATACTTTTGTGTAATAACTAGCCAGAGTGAAGAACTCAGGAGCAGTCTGGGTAACTATAATCCTTAATTGTGAGAGAGAAGTATTGCATTTTCCTATTTCTATCTTTATTAGTATTTTTCACATTGCTCAAGCCAGTAATAGTGCTTTGTTGTTTACTAAATGCTCCAGATGTGATGCTAGTAACTGCTTCAACTGTCATGCTAGTAACTGCTTCAACTGTTATGCTAGTAAATGCTTCAACTGTCATGCTAGTAACTGCTTCAAATGTCATGCTAGTAACTGCTTCAACTGTGATGCCAGTGTTGGGTTTGTTTTGTCTACTCTAGTTGTATTAGCAGTGGCAACACACCAGCTACAGCCACTTACCTGTACTTCTGTCAACTTTAAGGATGATTTTATCCTTTACATCTCATAGTTTTACCATTATTATTATTTTACAGATTCTTTGTAAATCCTGGATAATTTTAAACTCTTACTTTATATTTTACATATTTTAGCATGGCTTGTAATTATAGACACATGGCTGCAGTAGTTAGTTCCAGCTTTGTAACTGTTAGAGGGGAATGAGTGACCACATCACCAAGCTTCCCACTTCCCAAAAGCATCTCCTTTTCAGAGTGTCAATCCACCATCTGTGACATGTAGGAACAAAGACGAACTGCTGTTTCTGGCCTAACAAGCTGAAAATCACAGGAGTAATACATCCTTGGACATATCCCGGTAAGCCTTGATGGTAGGAAAAGATTGACTCCGCTGCCTAATGCACAACATATGAGCCTAGGCACTTAGTTTCTTCTCATAATAGAGGTGAGTCTTTAAGATGATGAGTGAGTCGTGTAGTGTTGCATGTCTTCATTAGTAAGTGTAGTTTCTTAGACCCATTATTAAAGGTTAGAATTGTTATGGTAGGGTTGTATAGTCTTGAGTTTGATCCCAACAGATTTTGAAAAGTAGTTGGTCATAAGGAACTTTGTATAGTGTAATGGTGTCCACACAATTCTTTAACTACCTTCTCTTAACATTAACTACAATACTAATAAACAACTGTATCATCAGAATAACCATCTCAAACTTATAATTAAAAAAAGGTGTTTTAGAAAAAGGTCTTATATCTAACATTTTAATTATTCTGTACAATATTATCTGGCGAGAATGAAAGTCAAATTTGTAGGTGTAGGAGACCATGTATGAGTGATGCATGGCCCATTGATGTAAAATTATATAGTATTCAGAAATTTACATGATATAATAATTGTATCCCACAGAAATTAGTAAATGATTTTGAGTTTAATAACCATAATGGCAGATGTTACCATAAATATATCCAAGAGTTGAGAGCTATCCTGAGTTATTTCACTAATATTGTTTTATTAAAGTTAACATCCACTAAATGAGTCAAAACACGAGCTACACCAACAGGTTCATGACCACATTTATGGTTGATCGGAGATACTCGCACGGCACCACCGATCTGAGCTATATAGGTACACCATGTAGCTTAGCTATGTCTATGGACAGATGTACAGACAAAACTATACTTAACAATCTAATAGACTGCTGTTTAAACTCTGAAATAACTGCACAAGGATCAACAAACAATATAATTTTTATTGTTAATTACTGCACCCTGAAACACTCCCTGCTCCATTATAAATTTATTAACCATTAAAAAACACTTAATAATTTTTAAGGCAAAGAAATTAAGTCATAACATTTTAAATTATGAAAAATGGAGCAGGTGTTCAGGGCCTCAACACCACACTGAGCCTTACTACTGCATATCTTGTTTAATCAGGCATTATTTTCTTCTATATTATTTTAAAAGTATCAACTCTCCTTAAATACAGGAACTGGGAACATAAATAATTATCAGGATGGTGTTATCTGAGCTTCCCTCTTAAGGAAAAGGTGTTTGGAGGGTTAATATCAATCTTGGTAACTTAACTTGTACAACTATCTTACTTCTACAACCTGTTCACAAAAACACACCTTTTGGTTGTTCTTGTACAATACTCGACCTCACCAATCATTGTATGATGTACAAGGTATAATCTTCCTTCAGTCATAGTGGAACTTATATCACCTGAACATAAAGTCAGTTGAACTACCTGGAGGGTTTTTCACTACCTGAATACAGATCTCATAAACTTTATTCTGTATTCCTCCTAAAAATATAAATCACATGAATGATCCAAAAGACAAAATGTCCAATTAATGTTTATACTAAAATACGTAATCATAGTCTTCATGGAACATTCTGGAGAAAAATCTGAAAATCTCACTCTTCACAAATGTTGAAAACTTTCAACATAACTTAAAGGTACTTATGGTATCTAAAGGTTCAGTATATAAAGGGCATATACCTTAAAGAAGTTAACAACATACTAATGCCAATAAATGTTACGGCTGTGCCTCATTTCCGCTCTGGGTGTCATTTTCTGTTCCTTCCTGTTCTCCTTGTTCACGCTTCATTTTCTTGGCTCTGATATCTGCTAATGCTTCTTCTATAGTTCTTTTGTCCTTCTTTAGTTCACTGCGAACTGGATAACATAATATACATTAGAATACAGGGTAAATACCATATAGTTTTTGTGGACTGCCCTGCTAAAGCTGGAGATCCGCTCAGCAATACAGTTGTTTGTGTGTGTGAGTCCTTCAAGTTTATTGATGTAATAACTCAGCCATCACAGGATAGAGTTTATGTGTAGTTGGTGCAGGTAAGGTAACCTTTGAACATGAGCTGCAAAGCTTATTACTGTATCTTAAAATGTATAAACTAGGTACATAATTTACCTATACTGTACTGTACTTCATTGTTACCAACAGATCACAGCATTACCTCCTGCTTATTCTTGCCAGCCTTTCTCAGCTACAGCAAAGGATGGCCAGAATCAAGAGCCACAAACTCTCTCAACACATTCAGTGTCATTCTTTCTAACTGGCACCCAGTTGAACTTCAAAACTACTGGTTGCTACATTTTCGTCATTTATGCACATTATTGCTTCTTAGAAGTCCATCTCTACCCCGTCCAATACTTCTCTCGTCCCATCTTTCCACGCCATCTCTTCTCTCACCAATTATACACTCTTAACCAATTCTTTTCTCTCCATTCTACCATCAACTTGGTGGGCTTTGCCTTAACACTACCAGAAAATTAATATAAATAATTAGCAATACATACGCACCATAGCCAAACTGTTTATTAACTTCTAAGATTCTTGCCGATTCCTTGCCGGTCTCTTTGCCCACCAAACGCTCGTACTTCTCGATGAATTTGCTAGAGCCGGGGTCCTTCTTCATCTGTTGTGCCCTCACCTTGTCCTCCTGTTGTTGTTTTTCTTTCTGATATGTCAGTAAAACAGGAGACGCTAAGTTGTTGTTAGTTTTGGTTTTATTTACTACTTATATACTGTATCTCATTTATATTATCAATTGTTACCACCCATATCATCATGCATATAAACCTGGTCGTCAAATTCTACTTAAGGAAACTTCTGGTGTAATTACAAGTAGTGCTGTTTCCTTTGCCTTCTCTGGGTCCCACTCGTCTCCATTCTTATAAGCCTCCAGTTCATCCTCAGTCAGTGGGTATTCTTTCTTGAACACCATCACATGACGGTCAACATCCTCGTTGCCAAAAGCATAGGTGGTGAGGCCAGCAACATCCGCTACGTCACGCCTATGGACAGACCCCACGATGATGAACAGTATTTATCTTGGTATAAATTAATCAAGGCAAGTAAGAGTTGTGAGTGCAGAGTTAGAAATTTTATAGTGAACCGATTCAGCCAAGAACATTAATTAATTTAAAGTACGTAATGGTACACAAATTTTTCAAAGGGAATACTGAAACTTTTAATTAGCCCATCTTACAAAAACTTGAACTTTAGGATCAGCTCACTTATGGGTTTTATTGATGTAACCCAAACACACACAAAAAAAAACATCTTAAGTTTCAATCCAATACATTATCAAACACTCAACTCTACTTATTTCTGAATTGGCACTTTTTGAAAATTCTATCATTATAAAAGCATGGAGAGGGAAAGGTCATATATATATCTACCTTGTTTATCTATCTCTGAGAAGTAATTATGGAGCTAGATTTATGGACAACTTCTGGATAGAGTTAATGGTGTGGCTGGGCAATATGTGGAGAGATAGAAGTGATAATGAAAGGTTGTGTGGTAATACTGTATTGGTGTTTTGGATAAGACTGTGATTACTGCAGCTACCGAGGACAATCCTAGCTTAAAAGTAGTCTTCTTACACAATGCTTCTTGCCACTCTCTCCATTGGTTCAAATTTCTTCTTCATTAGGGTGACATTCTGAATAAATCTATTTACTCGTTCTTCAATCTGGAATAAAAGGAATTTAAGTCTGTATTAATAAGATGTGAACAGATACACACTTCCATATTTCTTTATTTCACATATTATAACAAAAAAGTAGAACTGTGTTATTGAAAAGAAAAAACTCACATGCTTTCTGAATTGGTTTAATCTTTCTCTTTCCTTGCTTTTGGCCTCTTCAACTGCTTTCTGTTGCTCTGTAAACAAGAAACTGATATTGTAACACAAGGTAAGGAAAGCAAAGTGATCACTGATAAGCTACTGTACATTCGAAAAGACTCAGGAATTTATACATCTGCCTTTCCAAAGAAATTTATACAAAAAAAGAGTTGTCTGAAAAAAGCAAAAGGCATGACTGATCCTGAAAGCACTTTTTATGATCGAGTCTGGATCAGATGACTTGTTTGATGCCTGAGAATAATTCAGAGCAAAAATCCAGTCAGTTTTCAATCTTTGAATAAATTAAAAATGTCTCATATGCAGGTAAATTTTTTTACAAACGCCTATCATAAAGTGAAAAATATATTGAATAGTATCATTAAGAAATACAGTTTTACTGACTCCGTTAGAAGTTTTGAGATTAAAATTGTAGCATCTCCTGCATTGAAAAATATTCTTGTATTTCTCTTATAACTAATAAAACTATCATAAATGTGTGCGATCAATTTGGTTTCATTATTTAGAAATAGTGTTTTGTTGTTTCTCATGTTGGTATGGGACTTAGAGTTCAGGATTATGGTTGTAGATCTAAATAACTCAACTGTCTTTAACTCTGAAAGGAGATTAGTTAAGTTTCGTCAGTCAAGATATATTATTTGACTAAAGAATGCAGGGAGCAACATTAATCAAAAGAAAGAACTAGTGCCAGATCTAATGGTGGCCTATAACTAAACAAATCCCTGGTACTTTATCGTGGTAAGTTGTGCTTCAGGCAGGTGGCAAAATTGAACTTCAAAACCCAAATATTTTTTCCACATCGAACTTAATTAAGCTTTGTCCTCTCCGCTGACTAAATGTTACCTCTTATTAGTTTCTTATGTTTATCATTCATGCTCGGCGGCTTATCCATTTTGCTCATTATAGAGTCTAGGAGGTCCATGGTGTGAGGTAGAGGTAGTATTAACTCTTAAGGTGAGGGTCTGAGCTGCCAGGTTCAGTTAGTAAACAACTCAACGTTAACACTCACACACTCGCTAAATAAATTCCTACTTAATATTATTCCAATGATATTTTAAGATATTTAATATTTATATCATTTAGTAATTATTAATTTATGGTATATTGTGAAGTTAGTAATATATAATAAGAGTTGTATGAGGAGTAAATGATGTTAGAGAGTTGTTGTGGGTCGAGGAGGTAAATAAGTAGCGGACTTCCTCCTCCTGGGTGTGCTGGACCTCTGGGCTCAGGGACTCCACTTACAGCCTTCTAATTACTTTATTGGAAAGGTAATGTCGTATTCAAACCTCTCAATGATATTTTGGATGTTTGTCTCAATTCTGAATAACCATTGAAAAGTAAACAATGCCCAGTTAAATTTAAATAGTCAGCTGTTGGTTCATTATCAGTTGTCTAGTTTGATTTGATATTATTATTCACGGGATATATATATTGGTTATATCAGTTGGCTTATATCTCTGATTCTGATGCCGTTATAATATATGAAAAGATATGATGATTATGTTTAAACTCTTACCTGTTGTGATTATTTGAGTGATGGTTTATTTTAACGTGTTCTCAGAGGATAACTAAACCAGTGAAGTTTTTATCATTGTGGTAATCCTTCTTAATCATAGACGGGCAATCTTATATTTGGTTACTATAAATGACTGAACCATTATTATATATGCCAGTTCACCCAGAAGATTATTGATATTGGAACAGCTTATTGAGAAATGTTGTGGAAGACCATTGAGAGGAGAGTAGACAAACACTGATAAGAACACGGTATTAAGTTCAGTTTTGGCCAAGGAAGACAAATTATGAGAAACAAATGGTCAAGAATCATCCCCTCAGACACCTAGGCTTCTGTAGGTGTGGTCTTACAGGAATCAACTGCATCCACTAACAACCCAAGTAATATTATGCTCAGTTCTCACTCTATGAAAGGTAGTAAATGACAGGAAGAGCAATAATTGTAAAACTTGCTTCATGTATTGTAAACTTTATGAAATATTTATTTATTTTTTTAAATTTTATTTTCAGATTTGTCGAGTTTTTCGCTGCGTGTCGTCTAATGCAACAAAATGGTGGACTTGGGTGGGGGAACGAGGGAACGTTTCCAAGACTTAGGCACAGAGGAGCCTGATGATGTGTTGCCTCTAGACTCAACAGTGAGCTATTACTCCCACCACACATCACGACCTTCCTCGTGGCGCCAGTCACTACAGGTCAGTTCTTCCCACTGCTACAGGACGTTACCAATTTTATATCATATATTTATAGAGGCCTTAAACACAAAGCTTCCATAGTTTAAAACAAACATGAATTTCTGAAGTAATGTTTGTTATTTATGTGTCATTACAGAGATATTTTGCTGTTAAATTTTCTGAAACTATTTTGTCTTATGATTTAATTATAGCTGTGTGATATAAGGTAATGATCTCTAGATATTCCTCACAACTTTGGTTCTTGGGGAGATACATAGTCATCCATTCTTGGCCTTTTATTTATTGTTTTTGTAGGACTTTTATCATAGGTTTGTTTATAGTGTCTGTGGTTAATTTTTTGCTTAAGGTTAAATTGACTCATGATGAAGTTAAGATATTTTATCCAGATATAAGAGATTACTTGTGAGCTTCTCTCTTAGCTAATTCTCACTGACAAGCTAAGTTTCTCATCTGAAGCACATGCTGATTTGAGAGCAAAATAACATACTGTATTAATTAAATAAGAATAATAGCATTTTAATTACCTGTGGCTGTTATTAGATATATGTAAACACCATGATGCCTCTCAGCTGTAAAGTCCAGTGAAGGTAACTAATTCTCCGTCCATCCAGGGTCAAGACGTTACCGCCCGACACAGTCTTCTGGACTCCATGCATTATGACTTAATTCAGATCAAGAATGATCCTGAAAATCTCTCAAGACTATGCAACAGCAGCAGCTCCCTGGTGACTGTGCCGGGATCCTCTGTGTCATCGCTGGAGGCTGCAGAGGATGCTCGAGCAAAAGGGCAACTGCTTCAGGAAATTACCCGCGTTGCCGAGACATTCGAGCCGGGCGGATGTTACCGCAATTATACTCTAGCTCCTGATCCACCAACCCACACAGAATATAATTTACGTACGTATTATGTATTTTCCTGGGCAAGAACCTGATGCTCTTTATGTTTGTTATGTTGTATAATTAATATTCCTGGGGATAATGTACACATATTGTTTTTGAAATGTGTAATGATAGGTGAGACTACTGCCACTTAGAAAAATATAAGTTACTTCTTATTAATTAATTTAAATATTTGACGTGAAGTTTCAGACTCGCCTCAGTGGTCATGGAGTCGTGGCCCAGGTGAGGATAGGAACCTCACAGGGTCAGGAGGGAACCTACTGGTGGGGAGCAGCCAGTCCACTGACACACTCATCACCTCCCTCCAGTATACTGTTCCATCACATCTCATCCAAGACACATTCTCAGCACACCTTCCCTCCATATCTGTAGCTCAGCCGCCCACATCCGTCCCGACGTGCTCGTCTGTAAGTTCTGTTCTTCTTTTACAAGTTGCTCGGTATAAAGGAGCAGTTATATACTGTATAGTCAAAGACATGAACTTGAAGATGGAATTGCTATTGTTTTAAAATCCACATCTAAAGATTTTTGTAAAATCACATTACAAGTACATTTTGTATTCAAATACTGTATCCCTAGTTTTTGTTGATCATGAAGTACAGTATCTGCCATTAATACTGTATCATACAGTCATTGTAATCCAGCAGATGTTCTGGGTGTTAGAATTGGATATTTGATACTTGAGGAGCATTGATAACCAATAACAATTGTTTGGAAGAAATTTTGCATTAATGATTCAGACACTCTGAGAAGTATTGACTTTGTTTACATTGAAGAATATAGTTTATTTTTGTGAATATTATATAATTTGACCTTAATTATCCCATTTTTCTTCAATCCACTTATATATAGCATTACATGTAGTACTTAAATTGAGCTCCCATGAAAATAATTGTTTTCCTTCCTCAGATGCAGCGGTCTCCTCCAACATCATCAGCACTCGACCTCTCACCTGGTCCTCCCCCTACGGCCCACCAGCTACCTCCATTACAGCCTTCACTCATGAGCCAGGCACCACCCACCCATGTGTCTACCATCTCCCCTCCTCCCTCAACACATCAACTGCCTTCTCTCATTGCACTGGACATTACTCCTCAGGCTCTGTCATCACACCACACATTAGATGACACCCTGGATCTGGTGAGGAGAAGTTTGTCATTATAAACCTAGACATAAGTGCAGTCATCATCTCAGGTACCATGAGATGTATCACAATAACTAACTATTTGGACTTATGATGTTTTTATTTTGATGATATTAATTTTAAACTTTCAGAGATTTGTAAAATATCCATTTGAAATTGTTGTACAGTTCTCATTTAGTTTATAGATGCATTGCAATACTGTACAGACAGTCCTTGAGTTTTGTATGGGTTAGGTTAAAACACAACCCAGCTCATTCAAAACAACATTAATATCCCATAAATAACAAATAATGTGAAGGGGATGTTCCTGTTAGCCGGATTAATTGGTGCAGAGCTCTTCCGGGAATGAGAGATTTCCGGGTAATGAGACGACTCTCAAATCTGGAAAAATCCCACATCCCTGGAATTTTTCAGGGTATTGGGAAAATTTTCTTGGAATTTTCTAGAATTATGCATTATTTCATCCTTAGAATTTGCTCCCAGAACCAGAAATTTTTTTTGAGAGAGATTTTCCAGAATGTTCTCAGAAAATGCATCTGATTTTCAACCTCGGAAACTCGTTCACAGACCCATAATGGAGAGAATTTTTCCAGAAAAATTCCAAATCAATTTCAATTCCGGGTATTGAAGAGTTGTGGCTAACGGGGATACTAGTACTGTACTTCATAACTAAAGTGATGTTAAACAATATAAAGCACAATAATGTATAAAATGGAAGTTTAATTACAGATTTTTTGGATGAATATATTGGGATCCTGTTAGTAAGTACTGTACTGTGGTGTTTGTGTTCCTGAGCATTACTTGTTCCTCAAGAAAAATTTTTTTCTTTTGGAAGTAAAAATTTTCCTTTCAGGTCCACTCTGATGAGCTGACAAGCAGGAAACAGAAGAAGGATCCTCTAGCAGTAGAACCATCTGAACCCAAGTCCTCACATCCTGTACAAACCTCTGAAAAGACATTCTTTTGTAAACATTGTAATGAAACATTTCCCCAAGAAGAATCACTTAAGGTTTGTATTGAAATGTATCTTTTATATCTGATGTATCATGAACCACTTGCATATGGGGTTCCTTCTCTGATGAATATATTTGTCCTGTATGAGCCAAAGTGTTGTCCCCATAGTGAAGGGGTTAAGGTGTTGAACTGTGCACTCACATTATATGACACTTATGTTGATCAAAGGACTTATTAATTGCAACATTCTTGTTTACAGATTGTAGAAAGGCTCTTTATTAACACTGATGGCTACCACTAATCAAACAATTACACAATCTAGCTGTTCTTGGACCTTCATTGACCTTATTGGCTTTCCAGTACTGTACTCACACCTCAGTCCATCTAAACTGTTATTTTTTGGTCTTCAGGTATATCATCTATTACACATACAAGAGTTTGGCAGAAGAAATAAACTTTTGTGAAGAATATATTAGTTTACTCCAATTAACCATATGTTTACTGTAGATATTTCCTGTGAATTAGTAACTAGAGGTATTAATGCTCCCCACCATCACCAGGTACACGAGTCGAGTCATTCCGGAGAGCGACCGTTCAGGTGTAATGAATGTGGCACAATGTTCTCAGCTAAGGCCATGCTTATTAGGCACAAGAAGGTAAAAAAAGTAACAACTCTAATATTTTTTCTTTTCTTATATAAACTAATGCTCTTGAGGCAGTGTCATAAGTCTCTTGATAAAATTATTCATATCTCATCCTGCTTCTAGACAGTCAGTGATATACCAGTTGTCATGTGTATGTCTGTCTATGATCTGCCCCAGTATCAGTTTTTTTTTTACCCTTCTACAAGAAAACTAAAGTATATCACAGTTTAATTCTCCTATTCTTCCATTTTTTATAATAGAACAAACCTTTATCAGCAGTGGTTGTAACATACATTCTCAGTGCCAAACCTCGTCGTTAGCAATATAATCATCGATAAGGGTATGGATAGTTACATGGTAGTTATAAATATAGTACACAAGTTGTTTCTCAATAACTACACCACTAGTATAGAGAGTAATCATCAGCAGTTCTCACGTTTAACTGGGTAAGACAGGTTCAGTGGAACTCTGGGTCATTCATGGGATAACAGCCAGGGATACTTTGATTAAATTGGTTTACACACACATGGTAGTAAAGTAATAATGGCAGTGGAAGGTCACAATAACATTACTGTGTGCCAACTGAATGTAGTTGTTGTCTTGACATTTTTCCTACTTTTACAGGTTCACACTGGAGAAAAACCGTACAGTTGTGATGAGTGCAAAACTTGTTTTACTGAAGCTGGTAGCTTGAAAGTACACAAACGACTGCATAGTGGTGAGAAACCTTTTAAGTGTGACCAGTGTGATGTTGCATTTAATGGAGCCGGCATGTTGGCCACCCACAAACGAAAACATACAGGGGAGAAGCCTTACAGGTGTAACGAATGTAGTGAAACATTCCGGCTCTTGTCCACTTTGAAGAGTCACAGACGGAGGCACACGGGTGAGAAGCCATTTACGTGTGAGGTGTGCAATTCGTCATTTACTCAGAGAGCAGCTATGCAACGTCATAAAAGAATCCATTCCAATCAGAAGCCGTGGGAGTGTGAACACTGTGGATTTAAGTTTCGTGAGAAAGAGAACCTAAGGAAGCACGTTGCTCTTCACAAAATCAAATTACAACACATGTGTAAAATTTGTGGTGAAGGGTTTAACCAGGCTAAAAAATTAGAGATTCATAAAATGGTCCACAATGGAGGCGATCGACCGTACCGATGCAATAAGTGCCCGTCCACTTTCACCAACTCTAAATACTTGACACAACACAAGAAACGTGTTCACGACAGGAAAGGAGCAGTTCAGTGTGAAGAGTGTAATGGTACATTTAAGAGGAAAGAAATTCTGATCTCACACATGAGAATACACACAGGTGAACGTCCTTATGTGTGTGAAGAATGCGGTGCTGCATTCAATCAGAGAGGAACTCTAACAAAACACATCAGGACTCACAGTAATAGTGTGCCTGCCACTGAGAATGATAAATGTGATGATCTTTATGAATGTAGAACTTGTAATCATGTTTTTCTGGATAAAATGTCTTATGAGCATCACATGCACAAACACCATGTGGTGGAGGATGTTTCCTTCAGTTGTCCATCGTGCAGCCTCGGCTTCTCCAGTCAGAAGGAGTTAGTGCTGCACATGAGAGCAGACCATACAGTACAAAGAACTGCACGAGGTAGTGTAGGGTCTGACCCAGATGTTGATGACAGTAGTGAACATATTAGGGACAAATATATGTGCGAAGATTGTGATCAAACATTTTTCCGAAAGCGACAGCTTAAGGCCCACAAAAAGTATTGCCGGTGTAGTTATTCATCCCTAAAACCTGAATCCCCGGAGGATGTAAAGACTGACACATCTTTCCGGGGTGATACCAAAGAAGCTGATCCCATGAAACTTTTAACGGCAGTGTTGGCTGTGACAGATAATAGCTCTAGTGAAGGTCTTGGCTATCAACACACTGTTGGTCGAGGACCACCATCTTCCGTGGAACAACCTCATCAGCGTTACCCGTCACCATCAGTCCCTCCCACAGTAGATCAACCTCATCAGCGTTACCCGTCACCATCAGTCCCTCCCACAGTAGATCAACCTCATCAGCGTTACCCCTCACCATCAGTCCCTCCCACAGTAGATCAACCTCATCAGCGTTACCCGTCACCATCAGTCCCTCCCACAGTAGATCAACCTCATCAGCGTTACCCCTCACCATCAGTCCCTCCCATGATAGAGGAACCTCTACAGCGTTACCCCTCACCTCCCTCAGTCCCTGCCACGGTAGATCAGCAACTGCATCGTTACCCCTCACCTCCCTCAGTCCCTCCCACAGTAGAGGAACCTTTACAGCGTTACCCCTCGCCTCCCTCAGTCCCTCCCACGGTAGATCAACCTCTTTATCGCTACCCCTCACCTCACATCCTCTCTTCAGATGATTCTCTTTACACCCAACAACTCCACATCCACCACCAACAGACTCACGTACAGCAGCAGCCATCACAACAAGAATTACACCTCTCACATCCATCCCGTCAACAACAGCCTTCACAAGACCACCTGCACCAACTGTCACATCAGCAAGTCACTCTGCAGCAGTTGTCTCAAGATAGTTTACAGCATTTGTCACATCTGCAGCAGTCATCACAAGATCTTCAGCGGCCAAATCATCAACAAGATCTTCTGCAGCAGGAGCATACCTCTCTTCACCAGTCATCACGACACCATGATCATTTACAACAACCACCACGACAGGACCACATCCATCAACTGCCTCAAGAACATGATCATTTGCAGCATCCCTCCAGACATGAGACTCATTTACAGCATGTTACAGATCCCGATCAGTTACAGCAGCCTTCAAGATTACGCAGTATCCTTATGCAGCATCCTTCCAGACAACACAGTCATTTGCATCAGACTACAAGACAGCAAGATCATTTACAACAATCTTCAAGACAGCAAAATCAATTACAGCATCAGACACAACAACCCACTCAGTTGCAGCAGACAGATCAATTACATGAGAGCCTCAGACAACAAGACCACTTACAAAATCACCACCTACAGTTTGACCAAATTGTCCAACAACAATTTTTTAAAACAAGTTCACTGCCATTGTCCAGCCAACACCATCATCATCACCATCACCATCATCATTCCCAGCAGCTGCAGTCACATGATCAGCTTGATCAAAACATGCATCCCCAGGATGAACTCCACCACAATCTTGAAGACTGTGATGATCTTGGTCCAAGTATACATCACCAAGACCAACAGGAACCAAGTGAGAGCCACCTGCATGCTCACCAACTTCTTGAGTTGAAACACGAAGATCTGAGAGAGGCCGAACACGACCATCGCCGCCACCACCACTTATCTCGTCCCAGCTTGGAAAGTTCTCTCAGTGTAAAGATTGAAAGTATTATCAGCTTGACTTCCACTTAGTTTACAATAAAGCAGCTATTGATGTTCAAACAACAGACCGAGACTGATTCAGTGTGAGTAGTGTGGTGACTCCCACTCAGGTGACTTGTTCATATTAAGCACTACAGTACAGTACAGTACTTAGCAACAAGAGTTACTAATGTATTTTCTGAGATGACTCGGGCAGCATTAAAAGATTTAAAAATATGTTCAGTTTTATAATAAAATAATTATGTGCACATGTATTTTTTCTTCTTTGTTGGATTAATAAGAGAAAAGATTGTGTTTCTCGGTGATATGACAAGACAGTGATGGTGTTAATTGTAGCCGCAGCACAGTACAGTACATGTACAGCATTTTGAATCATGTGACGTGATGCATCAGTAGAGATGAGTATGAGATTTTTGGGAGGTGCCTGAACAGGATAGTTAATGTGACGTATGACAGTTTATTGCAGCTCAAATTTTGTCTCAAGCCATTAAGAACAAAAAATTGTTCTCTGTTCGTACATGATATTCTCATTTCAGTTATAAGAGATTACACAGGCCATGGTGGGAGATGCAGTGTCCTGAAAAGTCCATCTTCACTGTTAGAGGCTGAGTAAGTAGGAGGCAACTAGTGCTTTAGTTTTCCAGTAAAATTGAGTAAATTCAAGATGATTAAAATTGTTTACCATTTGCGCCAGTGACAGTAGTGGTAGAAATAATGAATTCATCAACAAATACTGCAGTAAAATTTAGTGATTTGGAGGTAGTGTAGTGTAGTACTGTAATAAGCTACTGTGTGTCTGTGGTGTAAGATGTGGCTAATATTTGTGAGGGTGCACAGTGTCATATGGCTCCACTACACCTTTATCTCTTCATTAAGTCAGGATTGGAGAGACAGCTGATACATTCTTTTAATCATGATAAAAACCAAGACAAAAGGTTATACATTAAACTCTGGCCCATCAGTAACCAGAATACTTCATTAGCCAATATTTTCGATATATCAATACAATTCACCATCTCAATGACCGACAGTCTTGCTGAATGTATCCGGAACTGTGTCTTACGTAGGTTTGAAAATCACGGGCAGCTACTGTAAGCCACAACACAACCAACAAACTCATACACATTATTTCACCAGCTTCCTGCATCATCATATTTAGAGTTGATTTTACTAACACTGTAAAATACATATTATTTCTCATATACATGGAGATATATTACATAAATAAAGGTTAACTAATACTTTATTTTAATGGAATTTGCCGATTTATAGTCCTGGCCGTTAATAGAACGTATGCCCGTGAATATTCAGGGATTTGTGTTGGGTGTTATGTCACTAGTCTTCAGGTAGGGGAGGAATGGGTAAGATGCTAATGGTAATTTTGTTGTACAGGTTGTGAGACATTTTACTTTGCGATAATATTCAGTGTTAATTGACTAGATCGGTAATTCTTGAACGTGTTGTCTGTTTAGTGAGGAAATTTTCAAGTGTTAGTGACATATATTGTTAAAGAGATAATACTGAATGTAATGTTTCTATTCTGATAATGTGTGAGTACATACACGACATACATTATGTGTTTTACTGTAGTATTTAGACAAACTGTACTGTACCATTGTGACTGGTGGTAGATCATGTACAAAAGGTGTTCATCACAATTCAGAACATGTATACATAAAATACATTTATTAGTCATGTGCACTTTATCTCTGTTCTTATCATAATTTTTCATTTTATTTATTTACAGTTCTGCACAATCAAAGACAAAAGTCGTGTCGCGATTTAGTCTGAAGATTAAATATAACTCTTGCAACAAGGCAGAGCGCACCAAAAGTTTAGCTCATCGGATGTTTTCGCCAAATTTCACGACGCGACTTTTGTCTTTCATTGTACTACATATTTCTAATTTGAGTCTATATTAATTAATAATAATTTAGGGGAGAGAAGCTCAGCAAAGCTCAAATTCTCAGGGCTTAAAATAAGTGAAAACTTTTATTTGGAAGATCATGCAACTCAGTTTGGCTGTGATTATCAGCTTATACCATGTACTGTACTGTACTGTATTAGTTTATTGAGTTATTTATAAAATATTAAATTGTAGTGAAAAATGCACTTATTTGTTGCCCTAATAATGATCAAGTTATTATGAATTGTTGTACAAGTTAATAGACTAAGGTATATTTTGAGAGCATTAATAATGTTGGTGGGTGTTGATGATCTCAAGAGGAGTCACTCCTTTGTTGGACCACTGCCTCACCCGCCCCACCGACTCTCACTGACGACCACAGTGACATTGACTATTTTTTTTTTTACTATTTATAATGTACGGTAGTATTTTTTAAAAGGAAATGTTAGAAGTGAACAATATATTCCAAAGATTAATCACTAGTACTAAACTCACTATTCTAGGTATGACCAACTTAATCTATGCTGTAAATATAACAAATTTCTATTGTTCCATTTGTATAGGATTTTATATACCATATCATTAACAGTTATAAACCGTACCTACTATTTTAGAGGTATGGGGATTCAATAAAGGAAATTCCACTGTGTTTTAGTTTCATGGAAGCCTTTGGAGCTGAGAGTTGTTGATCCATTCAGGTAAAATATTCTCGTGAGGTACACTACAGTTTTATCAACATGGAGGCATCTGGGTTACATGTATCAGTAATGATATGTAAAGGTATGTAAATGGCTGTACAGGTATTTTAAAAGGCCCTCTTGCTTTATACATGATGACCCAAAAGTCCATATTGTACCTGTTATCAGAATTAATTACAGTATTTTTATTTCATCACCATTCACCTTTATTTCATCACCACAGGCAACAAGTGCACTTTACTGTACACTATATTCATTGCCGTGTACAGTACAGGGGAAATAATAACACTGTTTGGGTTGATTCCCTTTATTATTAACATTTTGTACAGGTTTAGTCAAATAAGGAGCAGTTATCACAGAGTTAGTAAAACCCATACATTAGCTCTTATTTTCCTAACCCTTAAACGGTGTCAGCTTACCACACCTAACGATCTCAACGTGTCAACGACCTTAATTCACCACTTGAATTTTTTTTTTCATTACCTGTAAATTTCATCATATAACCAATTGAAATACAGCCTTTTATTGTGGGGAAAATATACTGTAGTTTGTTGTATTTTACTGTATGCTAAAGTAGTACAGTATACTTTGTTTCTGTAATGTTAGGTCACATCAGTGCACGAGTATGGGAATGTCAGTCTTGTTTTGCCTCTCTGTTTATCACACTGTCAGTTAATCGGACGTCAGTTCACCGGCTCTCTCCCAAACTATGACTTGAAATTTGCTGCTTATTGGTCAAGACAGATCAGGAAAAATCACAAAAAACCGCCTTAAAATTCCCTATGGTATGAGTTATTAAACCTGTCTGACTTTTCTTCGCTTGACCAACATCACAAGCATACCAACACCCATGACCGACCTACACCTACACCAGAATACTTGACCTATACTATTAATAGACCTGAGCCCCTGACCTAAACTAATAGAGTATACTAGAAACTGACCTATACAGCTATTACTACAAAGATCTGGACTAGTGTATATGCACACCAAAACCCCCCGACCTACACTACTCCTACAGCTAAACCATGAGTGAGAATTCCATAAACCATGAGAGAAAAAACACATAATCCTTGACCTGTATATGTTAAACCCAAACACTAACTGCAAAACAAAATACTAACTGCAAAAAACCCAAACACTAACTGCAAAAAAATCCAAACACTAACCTCAAAAAACCCCAACACTAACTGCAAATCCAAACACAAACTGCAAAAATCCAAACACTAACTTCCAAAAAAACCGCATTAACTGAAAAAAAAGGTTCCTGAGAGTTAGAGAACTGCCGACTAATACCACCAACAGAACTAAAGCAAAACAAAACTGACAATTGCTGTAACAACTGACTACTGGTACTTGATAATGTGCCATCAACTTGCTGTACATTCCCAAAGGAGTGATGTGATTTATGATGCCAATTCTTATATTAGAAAACAAACTACTGTATATAAATTACTATACCTTGAAGTTGTTACCAAAATTCATAAACTGAAATTGGATTATTTTTATGAAGTACAGATGTTAAAACTTCAGATTTATTTAAAGTGTTAATTATGTTGTCTTAGATATCATGTGTAACTGGACATCATACATAAATTATTGCCGTTTCTGGCTATTAGGTGCGACACTGAGGTATGTGGTCAGCCTTTATGGTTGACGGGAAATAATGGGTTGCATTGTGGTTGGGTGTTAAGTGTGATGTTAGTTTCTGCATGTAAACTCTTGCCACATGATTGGTTATAGTATGTGTTGTGTTACCCCAGTGATTGGCTCTTGAATAATATGTATTGCTAGTGTGTCATTGGTCATTGTACTACTACTAGAGTACTACTCATCATGTAATAATGTGTCAATATTCACTGTACCAGACATAATGTGTCAGGTATCAGATGAGACTGTTAGCACATGGTTGGGTGTCAACTGTGATGTTTACTAATTTGTATTATAATATTATAATTTAGATAATGCAGATACATTACACAAATTATAATGTGGAATTTAGTTTAGAATAACCAAAAAACAATTAGCTTAATTTTCATACTTAAGATATCATGTTGTTATTCTGTGCTCTACTCGTCAGCTGCCCCAAATAACTAAAATAGGGAGATACACAGCACAATGACCATTAACTAGAGAAAGTGTTAACACCTCTTGACACACACACGGACATAACTTCAGATAGCCAATCACCGACTCATCTGAGACCGGTAACGTCACTCACCATGATTCTCTGTCATTCCCTCAATAATCGATGTCTTTTTAAATTCTACGTTAAGAAAGAGTACAATGAGTTATGACCACTAATATTTCATATACTTCTCCTGATACAAACATCAATCTCTATTATAGATGCATGAGTTGTATACCACACCAGCAGTAGTGTTATAATGTATAGGACAAGAGCAGCTGTGATGTCATTTCTGCATGTGATAAGATTATCATTTTATTATCTGCTTTAACTATCACCACATGCATAGAGTATTACTAAATGGTGAAAGATAATGTAACTTTTAATCCGAGGTTTTATATCTACGAGGTGTACAGTAATGGTGTATTTAACTCTTTGTTTACAGTGTGGCTGAGCACAAATAACTATCCTAGATGTGAACTACAACATATAATACAAAGTCAGAGTCATTATCACCGTGAGTCAATACACTACATTACTACAACCGATGCTTATATGGGTAACTGGTTGGTTAAAATGGCACATAAAGCAGATTATGTTGTACTACCATCACGAGGTTATGAGCACTTCAACATTCACAATAAATAGTGTTTCTGACTGTTGGACCAGGAGTAAGCACTAGGAGGCCACATTATATAGAGGCAGCTGGCCCACTTTAAAGAGGTGCTGTACCATAATGAAATGTCAGAAGGGTAAGGTTTCTCTGTTCCCTGTGAAGGTTATCATGAGCCTTAATACATGACAGTACAGGGGTGTTAAGTACTGGAGGAGTGGATACTGAAGTGTGAGTGGTAGAAGGTTAACTGTGGCTAGAGAGCTTTAACTTGTAGATGATGAAAACACTAGATGGACTCGCCTTTATAACGGCAGTGAGTCAGACACATGACCCTGGAAACAATTTAGTCTTGACTACGTACTTAATGACTGTTAGTATTTAAAGCTTGAAGATTAAGGCCCCTTGATTCTGTTAATTATATTACCCTTAACTTCATGAGACATTGGACCAAACTGTCATCAACATAAAGTACAAATTAATGCAGATTTTTAAGAATGATTTACAGTATGATGTAAAACTTTTGGAAATAGGTTTCAGCATGAGTTAATCATACAAACCATCTGATGAAGTTGTACATTAGTACTTTAAAATACTCATATTCATTCTGTATCACCAATCACAAGAGAAAATGTTCTATTACTCACCACCAGAGGTCAAGCTGTAGTATGATCTGTCTAGAGGACTAGATGTATCTGCAGCATTATTAACAAGCCATGGAGTTTGCCTATGGCCAGAAAGCTTGGGGTCTACCCTGTGTTGCCATATGTGACTTGGTTCCTTAGTCTGTATCACATGTCAGAAGCAGAGTTAAACATGTAACCTATTAGGACTAAGCCTATCTGAACACTGTAAACCTCATACAGTACAGCAAAATGGGGGAGTAGATCTCATAGTTAACAATACAGTTTGCACTAAATCTTGGACTTTCAAAAACTATTTTCACTGAATATTAAGTGACAGGACAATGATTTAGGAACACATGAAACACAAATGAAATTAAAAACAAAGATACTGTAGTACCCGGTATGTAAAAATTGACCCAAGCCTCTGGTATTAATGGCTCTGTTAAAAGATTTTATTTACCTAGATATTAAGGAAATGTTGGTGATCATATGTTTGTTCAGATGATACACAAATGTGCTGATCACAGAAGAATTTGCAGTATAACAGAGTAATTCCCACTACAGTACAGTATTTTCTTAATACATACGAGTGAATTACACTGAGGTAAAAAACACATCTTTCATACGACTCCCTAAAGAGTCAATAGCCACTGTGCTAAGAAGGAAGTCTCCATGTACTTCTGGAGATATACTGTATGTTCACTTGTAAAATTATCACTTCATTCCAATTGTTATTTTTTAAACATTAAGTCAGCAACGTGTTACACTGTATACTGTACTTGCAATGTTTTAGTTTCCTTCTTGCAGTATTTTAGCATCACAGTACAGTATACTCTGTTGCCAGTCATTTCACAGTTTTCAATCAGTATTTGGGTAGTTGAATAGAACAGTACAGTAGTCTATTAATTTTTCCAATTATCCTAGCGTAGTGTACAGTAAGTCCGTAATTTTGTCATTATACGATCTATCACATTACAGTATTTCAACATTAATGCATTAGTAAGAGTACAGTACAGTACTTTACTGACACTATAGCATACAGTAGTTCATTATTTTACTACAACTAATCACTTCATCATCCTGACACCATATTCACTGTCAAATACTATTACTATATTATGGTGTCACTGCAGTCACTTTAATTACACTTGGGAATTATATTGTCACCTTATAATTGTAGCTGCACATATTGTCTGTGGAGACCTCATTGGCCATACTGTAATATTGTTTTATTAGCACAACAACGTCAAGACAGACACACTAAACTGTCACTTCATCAGTCATACCGTACAGTGAGGTTGTAAGGACTACTTTTGTGATACTATGGATAATTTGCCTGGACCTCAGCATCCACACTACATATACAGTACCAATAATTAACCCATAGCCATTTTGCAGGCACCTTTTATTCCTACTACAATTATTTTGCCAAGATTAGCATTGAGTATACAAATATTTTACTCAGATTAGCAGTTAAGCAAAATATGATTTGCTGGAATTAGCAGTCAAACTACAGGTACAGTATTATGCTGGGATTAGCTATCAAACTATAAATATTTTGCTGGGTTTACTTGTCATGATATGGGTACAGTATCTTACTGAGATTTTCAGTCATATTAAAGGCAGTTTATAACATTCTTTACAATTAAACTTTATGCACTTCACGTTTATTTCACGAGTTGTCATTCTTACACACTTATTTTCACAGGAGTGTCACAGTCATCATATATTGCATTTTACTTGCACAGCAGTTTTATGTATGTATACATTTATAACATTTCAACAAGACTGGCAGAGAGAGGAATAAGTTTAATGAAGGCAGACAAGATATTTGAAGCAGAGATAGATTTTAATTTTGTGGAGGTATGATCACTGAAAAAAGGTACTCAGGATAAAGAAATGTGGTGAAGGAAGGAACCTCTAAAGAAACTTGCTTGTTGTAATATAGTATCTTGTCAGAGTCTTCTTGGTGGTTTAAGTCTGTTGATAGTTAATTTGGTAGCACTTCTCAACACACTTGGAAAAAACAAACACACTTTTGTTTTCTTGAAATACTTGATGGTTTGGTCAGCATGACTGTTGTTGCTCCTTACATTATATCTGCCTTTCTGTTTTAAGTAATGTCTTTCCACTGTGGATATAATGACTGTCTCGCCATCTCACTTGATGAATATAGTACTGTATTATATTCGCATCTCAAGGAATGGCTGCTATCTCATGTTAGTGGCACTTTTCTATGTTGTCAGTATCACAAGAATTCAAGCACCTTAAAGAATGTTTCCTTTCTATCTTGTATGAGCATGGCTTCATATTTACACAATGCCTCTCTCCATGCCCATGAGAATATGACTGTAGTACTATAAGAAGCAGCGTTCCTATGTTTGCTTGAAGAATATTCAGAATGTGAAGGATGAGAGAGGGTTGAAGAGGTAGGGTGGGGTGACACGTGCACACCCAGTAACTCTCCTGATGGTGGATGTGTTTTGTGGCTGATGGGTGTAAGAGGAAGATGTACTAGGGGTTGTAGGGGTGACGTGTGCCCACCCAGCGACTCTCCTGACGATTGGTGTGTCCTGTAGGGCCTGATGAGTAGTGGGATACTCGTAGGATCCCCAGAGGGTCCACATAGCCATGCCTGCAAGAAACAAAGTCCTGTGGTAAACGAACACTAGAATATACAATAATGATGTCATTCTGAGTGATGCAGTAAAGTAACTTTTTAACATGCCATCACATATTACATGAATATATAAGTACAGAACCTTAACCAGTTTGTGTGCACTGAACAATCTGGCTGGTACTTTGTGGCAGATTATAGGCCAACATAATATGTACTGTCCAAGATATGTGGTATACAGTACTTGCCAGTCTGATGGTCAACAAACAATGTGATTATTAACTGCACATCAGGTGCACTATTAATATGTGATACATTTGCAAATATGGTGCTGCTATCTGACAAGGAAACGTCAGAGTAAACTTACCTTCCAACTTTGGTGCCATCTGGGAGAAGCTTCTCAAAGTGGAATTGATTTCCAAGGTCGTAGTTAATGGTGAACTTCCCTTCTGCTGGGAGATCATCAATCTGTGCTGGGTCACGGGGCACACTTGTCACCTGATTACTTGTACTGGGGCTCCTAACTTCTGCAGTCACACCTGTAAAAACATCCTTAGTTATGTGGAGTAAGTCGAGTTAATATTTGGGCCCACAACTACTGGATTTTTTAATTTCCTTTTTTTTCATACACAAAGCTGTTTACTTTGTATTATATTGATGAATTTATGGAGCATCATGGAGGGTGGTCATGGTCACTGGTGCGCCGGTAAATAAAATATCATGTTTACGTGAGTTATCCCTATCAATTCTCTAAATCGTATCAGAAAACGTGACAACTATTTTCAAGTATGACATTGAAAACCTTGTATGTGTAGTATTAAGATGTATATACCAACAGGTATATGGGATTTCAGGCATGTTCACTTTACACTATAATTATAGAAAATAAAGGCATTAAACATATATTCTTATGATCTTGAAGGACCCATTTATCTGTTGGTATATATATCTTAATGTTGGAAAGTTACCATTCAATATTTTCCTAGTTTCCCGTGAATTTTCCCTGATTGGTAAGTTTTATACATTTTCCATGACATTTCTAAGACTACCACGACTAATTTAATTCCCGTGACTTTTCCATATTTCAAACCCTGATCGTAACCAACGGGAACGGCTGAACAGATTATTTTCGTCTATTTTGACTTCCCTCTATACTAAGTTTAATAATTATAATAGTAATAGCAACACAACACTCTTAATAGTAACGGCAGCAGAAACGTTATACTGATTTAGAAAATTATGAGAATAGTTTTCGTAGCGGCGATAAAATGAACACCCGGTCATCTAAGGAGACTGAAAATGGCGCGCAAATTGACCGCCACCCCAGGGCCGGGTAACAGGTGAGTGATCCGTAATGTCTTTTTTATGGATTATTAGTTACAATAAATGCATTTTCAAGATGCACAAAGGTATTTATTTAAGTGAAACTACGAGGAGTGATAAAAAGTGAGAAGGGTAGTTACCTGATTGTATAGTAATGTTAAATATTACTTTTATTGTCACTCACGATGGAATACTGAATGACAAAAATCTGTCGTGAACACTTATCACATTACTGTAGATGATTTAGAGCTCCACAGTTACATCTCTAACCCAACCACATAGGAATCGCTAGTAGGCTCAGATATTTTAACTTAAACGCAAAATAATTTTGTTTGAGTGACTACTGTACCGATGAGCAACGGAAGAAGTCACTTGGGGTAATTGCACGAGTATAACAACGGGTTGTGCCCGGAAGCTGTAAGTGAACCGTGATTTACTGCGTATAAAATTGTGCATAATTTACTTACAGGTTAAGAAGTGTGCTCCAAGTTGAGTGTACAATACGTCAGTCATCTGTGCAGCTATGAATAGGAACAAAGCAACTGTATACTGTGTCAACACGCCTTCACTCATGCTCAGCAGACGTGAGCGTGAGTCCTCTCACGCCCTCACCACCAGTGGTAAGTGATATTCACCTTAGTTCAATGTACAGTTGGAGATATCGTAAATGTATATACTGTTTGTATAATGTATATACATTTTTTAATTATTGTAGAAGAACTTTAGATTAACGCGAGTCTGCAGGTATAACTAAAGTTACGGCGTTCATTATGTCTGCCATTTGTTTCACGTGTAAAAGAACAAAAAATAAAACGAATAAAAAGATGCATTTTTTCCGAAGTTGTCTTTAATTGATAGTTCTGCCACTAGATCTACGTTTGTTGTGAGTTAACTATTGTTGGGTGTGCAGTATTTGAACTACAATACATGTGCAATGTTATTAATAGTAAACTACAATTTATCTTATTGGAGGGAGCATCGTGTGAATACTAATGGCTCTTCCCTAATACTGTACTGTACTACATTAAGGGGTTGATCTCACTCACCAGGACCTAAAATCTACTTAGCAAATACAATCTGCAATGATTACTTAAGTTAGTTGTAGTAATAGTGTTAACATGAGTCAAACTTTAACGACAAAAGAAGAACATGGATTAATTAATATGGATTATTGGTCTGAGTAAAATGTAATGAAGCTATTTGATAAATCCTCGCAGTAGTGAGGTTTTAGGTAATGATATTTTATCTTTTTAACGTGATCTGTTGTAAGCGTTGTTTCGCAGTCCAATTAATACAATAAATGTTACAGAAACTATTCCCATAACCTATTCTTTCTCTGTAATATAAGAACATGCACAATACTGTACTAAGAACTTGAACTACGCTACACCAGCTTAGAAATCGTTCACATTGGTTCAGCATTAACACTTATATCAACAGTGCGGGTGTGTAAACAATGGGAAACAGTCTATTTAATCAGACAACTCGAGAAAACTATTAAAATCTTACTTATACTGTGGTCCTTAGTGCTGACTCAAATAGTAAATAATACAAACAGATTTACGAACCTGCATCAGCCGTAACTCGTTGGGTGTGCGGACGAAGTAGTTGCGGTGCTCTGGTGACTGCGGTGCCAGGAGTCCGTGAAGCTTCAGGCCGCCTCCCCCACCATGCGTTGCCTCGATTCCTTATCCTGCTTCCAGTTGGCACATATTGTCGTCTGGCCGGTGGCACATATGGTTGACTGGTCCCACGAGTTGGAGGTTTTCTTCTTATGGGGACTGATCCAGGAGCGCCAGATGAAGGAACTCTTACTGGCTGGAACCCTGGAGATACATCAGGTCTATCTGTAGCGTCAATCAGCTGTGATATACTCGGTCCTTCTGAAGCGTGTGAGATATGAGGAGGTTTTGTTACTGGGATTACCGGCGGTGGTTCGGTAATCTTAGGCACTCTAATAGTTTTCTGCCGGACGATGCGGTAACCTTTGGAGTCGGCTATGTAGTCATAGAGACGCAGTAGACCTGTAGCGTCTACCCAGCCGTACGTGCCGACCACTGTGCCATCCTCTAGCCTCTTCTCCTTCCTGTACTGTCCGTTGTACGTCTGATACCTGCATGCCGGAACACACAAATATTAGGTGTATTAAACCAAACATTTTACTGACAACACTAACGTTAATAAAAAAAAATACCTAAATAAAAAGTAATGCGCTATTAGCATTTCAATCAGCTTTAAAACTGTAAATATTCATAAATAAGTAAACTAATGCACCAACGTGTCACCAAAGTAAACTAAGACAAGTTAAAAAGGAGAACACAGAGATTTTACCAGTATGACCTCAATGGTAATATGGTCTAAACTTATTTTCGATAATTAGTTACTGTTGATTTTGTTGGCTTTCCTTCCCATTCTCTTTAACTGTGGATTATATTATCGCCTTGTATTACACTACGCTTGATTACCACTCTAGTTTCTATGGCAACCTGCTTTACGCCGTAGCCAAGTGGGTTTTATTTTGGAAATATCTGTGAATGTCAACCAAGGCAGAGTCGATCCGCAGACTTTATTACTACAGATGTTGGTGTCCTGTTGACTGGTCGTGTCTCTCTGTGCTGAAAACAGGTTAGGTAGGTTTAGCTTTGATACTGTATATATGTTTAGAAGTATATAGAAAATTCTTACCTAATTCTTTTTGTGTAATAAGGAGAATACACATTCGGTACAGAAAACTTGCATCCTTACACCAAATCGTAATTATACACTGCTTATAAGTTTCATTTTAGTGGAACTGGTGGTCTTAAAAGATCCAGTTTAATATTTATAAACTCGTTAGCTCGCCCATTGAAAGGACAAAGGGTGGGAAGACCGCTTTGTCACCCTGGCGTCAGTGTCTCTTGAAAAAAAACTTTGAATGTTACGCTCAGTCTTAGTTTAGTCTTAATTTTTATTTTAACGCTACATTTTTTGACTTAAGGCTGGGGAGGAGGGAACGCATCAAGGTCCAGTAGAGTCTTTGGGGCAATTTTGACGACATTTTAATTTTTCTCGTCTTTGTGTCATAGCTTCTGAGTCAGTTTGGGAAAAGTACATAAGTTCTCCATGTTGAATATATTTATACGGTTCGTGTGATTGGCTATTTGTCTGTCTATCATACAAAACGCACTAGGGGGTACCATCTGGCCTAAGTGCCCGCTCAGCAACAGACCTTGACCCTCCATCACCGTGTTCAAGGTCCTTTTGAAAACTGGTTCTTGTTGCAGATGTGTTCTACCGCTTGGCCGCCCACACACACTGAACTTATGCAAGATTATCCTCTCATAAGCGTCGTTTTATTGCCCAGCTGGGATGAACCTGAATGACCACCTCTTGCTTAACCGACCGCTCCTTAGAGATTTAAACGCATTGTGACAACCCACGCGAATGAGGACATGCTACGCTCTGATTGGTTCTTTTATAACATGATATCCGCTGTTGTCCTCCCCACTAACTTGCCTAATATTACCTGATGCTCTGGTCTAAGATAACGTCACCACTTCTAAATCTGAAATGAAAGTTAACTCATGTAGTCTACTGTACTTTAACCTTAATTCACTGTAGCGTAAGACGAAAAAGAGGAAATTGCACACGTCATAGTGGGTCGGGACCAATATGTGCCCAGTATGACCACATATTGCGTGAATTTTACCTTTTGTAACTGGATGGATATAGTGATTGATGCACTTGCATATTTTCTACTAATAGGTTATAAGGAAAACTAAAATGCTCTGATTACTCGATTCTTTGTCTTTCATTGCATCCATAACGTCATTAACAAGAGAGAATGTGATTGGTCGATGCCACCCAATCAGTCAATAGTATCGCATAAGAAATTAATAAAAATATCTGTAAATAAATTATCCATATATACCCCATATATAATGGTTCTAGTGTAAATGTACTGGTGTAAATATACTGGTGTAAATGTATTGGTGTAAATATACTGGTGTAAATGTACTGGTGTAAATGTACTGGTGTAAATGTACTGGTGTAAATGTATTGGTGTAAACAAGCTCCAGGGTGCGATATAAATAACTAGGGATAAAAACACGTCGCTTAGCTATGGTGGGCTGGGCGAGGCGATGGATCACTCATTAATGTGTTTACCTGATTTATTGGCTCATTAACATACTATTGTGAAGCTCCAGGTCGGCTAATTACCCCGCGACGGGTCATTAAAGACGGGGTGGGGGGAGATGGTAGTGTGGGTGGCGGGGAGTTGTTTATTGAGTAGAATCCACTCTTTTGCGGGGACAAGTAACGCTGATTGGTTCACATCCACTATGACGTCAGTAAGTGTCCCACCCACCCACCCACCCACTCATACGATCTCGAGGCTTCATGTGTGAAAATCTGCTAGAGAGAATTTCGGAAACTTGTGTGACTTATCAACGCCATCTTGGCTACCACATTAGTGTTATGGCTTAATGGAGCGAGTTTTATGGTTCTCCCAGCTCCAGATTGGACGGGGAGGGGGGGTGGGGTAGGGTCTTGGTATTATCCTCACACGGGATGTACTGACTCATCCGTACTGTTGGTGTACCCAGGTAATGAAGGTCGCTGGTCAAACGAACACCTAACATAACATATAACATAACTTAACCAACGAATAGAATCTGGTTCCATTAGGCTTGGGTCGGGTCACAGTTGTAATGCATAAGTTAGGTTAAGATTGGGATCAAGCTAACCAGTCATTTTGAACAAGTTAAGATACGTACAGCAATATATACATACTTGAGTGTCGCAGTTTGGTGAGAAATATCCATAATACTGTATGGTTTTGTACTTAACAGAGACAAGTTTTGTATCCAGGGTCTGTGTGTGTGAGGCGCCATCCAGTATATCATTCATGTAGGTGGATAGTGGGTAGGGGGTAGGGGGTAGGGAGGGGGATAATGGATGGTTGTGAAGGGGGTAATGTGTGTGCAGAGGGGGGGAGAGAGGGGGGAGACTGACTAATATTTATGGTCAACAGAGAAAATAACATTATGTGTTGTAAAAGATGTTTACTGTTTCTCTTACACTGGCAGTATTACGGGATCACTACATAAACACAAATTCCTTAGCTCAGAGTATTAACAGAATCATAGGTTAGTTTTCCCCCTAGAGAGAGAGAGGAGAATTTATGCAAGAAAGGGGTAAGACAACAAAGAGAGGGAGAGAGAGAGAAAGAAGAAAGAGGACAGAGAGGTTGCCGAGAGGTGAATGAGAACTTATGAGAGAAAAATATACGAGGATAACAAAGAAAGAGTAAGATAAAGAACAAAGAGTGAGAGAAAGAAAGATAACGAACAAAGAGAGAGAGAGAGAGAGATAAAGAACAAAGAGAAAGAGAGAGAAAAGGATAAAAAAAACAAAGAAAGAGGGAAAATGATTAAGGTCAAGTTTTAGTACAGTTTTGGCGCCATTTGGACTCTTATCTTTCAGCCATACTCGAGGTTAATGATCGTGGTCAGTTGTGTCTTGTTTTGTGGCATTTCTGTGGGTTAGACTCGAGAGGTACAAGGAAGAGGTAGAAAGGAGAAGGTAGATAGGAAGAGGTAGAACAGTAGAAGGTAGAGGTAGATAAGAAGAAGTAAAAAGGAGGCGATAGAAAATAAAACAAATAAGTCACTCTTAATTATTTTATCTAAAGGTTATCTATTACCCGTTTTCTTTGATGCAAAAATTAATTGCTGTTTACATAATAGAAAACGGATAATTATGAATGATTAGCTCAAGGAAATTTACGGTATATGTGGCTTGTAGGCTGTGTAACCTCATTGTGCATTAGTGTTATATTTACAGCTTAATGTAAACTCGGGATCTTATTTGTGGTTTTGTCTTGTGGTGTCTTTAAATTATACAGTTTCCCGCGACGCTACAGAGGGTGATGTAGATGTGTGATGTAGAATTTAGTTTTAGTTAATTGATTCTGTTTGATTTTTTTTTTGTATCTTCATTTAGGAGAATAAATTATTGTTGGAATATAGAAAAAAATAATCTATAGGAAAAAACTATATATATAGAATAAAATCCTTTGAATATAGAAGGAAAAAATGCTGTTCGAATCTTTAAGAATTTGGTTATAGGAACTTCAGTTACCAAAAGTATTTAGGTTAAGAATTCCCCTCAGTGAGTTGCTTCAGCTGCGACACAATGCAGGGCGGTTAGGTTAGGTTAGGTTTGGTTTGGTTAGGTTATTGTAAAAACTACGTCAAGACTCGACTGTACAGTATATACATAATGAAATGCGTTCCTGTATTTCCATGAGGAGGATAGTGGATCACCTGAGGAGTCTCCACCCCAGCTGAAGATTAACCACCTAACACTCACCTAACCTAACCTAACCTAACCTAACCTAACACTCACCTAACCTAACCTCATACCCCCAAATAGCGTTAGGGTAGTTAATCTTCCGGGGGAATTAGCCACGGTGGTGATTCTTCGGGTTATTCTAGGACAGATTTTTAGTGTGAAAATCTGTGAGACTTCGGACACAAAGATGTGGTTCAAATAGCCACGCCCACGACGCCCTCTTCATGCCCTCTGGTGGTGGGCGTCGCCTTTCTCCTGCAGGGTGTGGGCGACCCCCCCCCCCCTTCACGCCCACCCCCAAGACTACAACCGCATCGCTGCCCCCTCCCCCCATTCTCTCTCCTACGCCCCCCCTGTCCACTGACCCCCCGCGGGTAGGGTGGAGATGCTGCACAATTGTTGCCTTGATAAAGAGAACATGTGTGTGTGTGGGGTGGGGGGGGGTGTAGGGGGGGGTAGATGACAGTGGTAGTGTGTGATGATGGGGTGTGTGTGTATGTTTAGTTAGGGTGTGTGTGTGTGTTTAGTTAGGGTGTGTGTATAGTATATGTATCTGTGTGTGGGAGAGGAAGGTGACCATGTGAGTGTGTGGTGGAGGGGTATGTGTGTGTGGAGAGGTGGGGGGAAGGATGTGGTTAATGGGTATCTGTAGGGGAGGTGATGTGGTGGTTGGGGTGTGGTGGAGGGGATGTAGTTTATAGCCGATAGGGATAATGTTAGTGTTAGTGACAGTATTGCGTGACAAGGACCGGGTCGAAGGGTATGGGGCGGTGCGTGTGTCAAGGTGCGTGTTTATGCCCTGGATAATAATGTACTGGTGCATGGGTCGGTATGCTGGGGAGGGCGGGGCTATCCTACCTGTCAACACCGTAGATGTATTATATCCTTAACAACAACAACAACAAACCAACAATAATAATAACATCAACAATAATACACACACTACAATGCAATTTCGTCCCTCTAAAATTCTCAAGTGTATCGAGAGAAATGATCTAGTTAAGGTAGAGTCTCAAGGCTAATTTGACGCCACTCTGGACAATAAACATGCAGTGTAGATGAGGCAGGTAGACGCCTCCATTCAGCCTAAAGTAGAGGAAAATTTAACATAGGAATATCAATTAATTCTCTCCTTTCATCTTTCCTCTAGTGGGGTCAATAAAGCATCACCCAACACCTTTCTATGTAACCAAATTCAAAGCTGTAATTTTTCCTCACCTGAAGTACCGATCGGGGCCGACATCTGTTTGAATGTGATACTGTTTGGGAGTGTGGCTGTAACCGGTCACGCCCACCACCACGCCCACCACCACGCCCACCACAACCTGAGAGGAGAAAAAGAGGGAGTTAATAATACACCTATGGAACACAACCCTGATCTTACCATCCTTAAATAATAATACCGGGTTGAGTATGTGATAAGAAGACCGAGGAAATGTATATTATTAAACTGCATTCAGGGCCCCGTCTCCCCGCCCCAGGTAACACATTATGCAGATTAGGTTAGGTTTGGTTAGGTTAGGTTAGGTGGCAGTGTCATAGAAGCGGTGATCAAACTGGATATAATGGGGATTGTACCAAAAAACCTAACCTAACCTCACACTAGAACGCGGATCTCTTTACCAACACACCCTAGGGCCCTTGTGGTTATTGAGATGCATCTAGGAAGAGGGAAAAAATGAACCGTAGCACGAGGACTTGTATCCCCCTCCTCCCCTTACTCCCCTCCCTCACCCCCTTTACCCCCCTACCCCCTCCTCACCCACCTACCACCTTCAGGAGCCCCGGATAATAATAGGACTTAAGTAGGGAGGTTGATGACCCTAGTGAGGACGCCCACACTCCACCACCCTAAAACCCGCAAGAACAGAGAGAGAGAGAGAGAGAGAGAGAGAGACCCGTGTGAAGCCGAAAAACGAGGCGACGAACAGGTAGACTCGCCCACCACCACCACCACCTCCTCACTCACCTAAGGGGGCTAAAAAGTTAACTGAGGCGCACCAAGGAACAGGCCAATGAACTGATTCATAAGGCATTGCTAGGGGCACCGTGTGATACTGTACACTGGACCCAGAGTCACTTAAGATTCGTACCTATGAACTCCTTACTTAATATGGTGACGAGAGGCCCTAGCTAGTATATGGCATAGAGTCAAAACATCTATTTGGCCGCTATTTATGACCAACATCGTCGTATCTTGAGTGAGAAATATCTACATCCATCCACACGTGTTCAGTTACGGTGAGGAATTTAACATTATGAACCTGTATGAATCCAGGATCTGACCAGTTATGATAAATCTCCCCTGCAGCGTCCTGTTGTCAATTAGACCTCACCTTAATATTTTTTTTATATATCTGACCTCAGCTGATTATTGTGACTAACTGTGATTGTGGGCTGATTATTGTGTAATTGGCTGTCGATATTACTTGATTACCTGTCGATTTTACCTTTTGTTTACCTGTCAATTTTACAAGTTATTTACCTGTTGTGTTTACTTGTATTTACCTGTTGATTTTACCTGTCGTGTTTACCTGTTGATTACCTGTTGTGTTTACCTGTCGTATTTACCTTTTGTTTACCTGTTATTTACCTGTTGTGTTTACCTGTCGTATTTACCTTTTGTTTACCTGCTATTTACCTGTTTGTTGTTTACCTGTTACTTACCTGTTGTTTACCTGTGTTTTTTACCTGTTGTGTTTCAAGGCCTTAATCAGCCACACTCCAGGAACTATTACAGGTATGACAACTTTACGAGCATCATTAATCCTCTTGAGATCTTTCCTGGCTTCCTGTGCTATTTTTTATACGTTAGGTGAAGAGGCAGGATGATGAGTGACGAGCGTGAGTGACGAGGGTGAGTGGAGTGAGTGACGAGGGTGGGTGAGTGGAGTGAGTGACGAGGGTGGGTGAGTGGAGTGAGTGACGAGGGTGAAAACTGATATTTTTTTTTTGTATTTTCAACATTTATCAACACAACTGCAACACCTGCCTGCAACATTTTCCCTACAACACTGCAACATATTCTCACAACACTGCAACATATTCTCACAACACTGCAACATATTCTCACAACACTGCAACATATTCTCACAACACTGCAACATATTCCCACAACAATGCAACATATTCTCACAACACTGCAACATATTCCCACAACACTGCAACATATTCTCACAACACTGCAACATATTCTCACAACACTGCAACATATTCCCACAACACTGCAACATATTCTCACAACACTGCAACATATTCCCACAACACTGCAACATTTTCCCACAACACTGCAACATCTTCTCACAACACTGCAACATATTCTCACAACACTGCAACACGTCTCTGCAACAAGGGACTCGTTTCTGGGTCCTAGTGAAGGTCGTGATATGCAAATTACCTGGCCTGAAGCTCCATATATGACGCCTTAAGCCAGACTTGAGGGTGTGTGGGGGTGATGGTCTGGCAAAAGAGGAGGAAGAGGAAGACGAGGAGGAGGAGGACGAGGAGGAGGAGGAAGACGAGGAGGAGGAGGAAGGGTGGCTGGATTGGGTGGTGTGGGGTAGAGGGATGGGTGACTGGGTGAGAGAAGAGGAGGAGAGGCCGGAATGGGTGTGTGGGATAGAGGTATGGAGGAGGAGGAAGACCAAGAGGATAAGGAGGAGGAGGAAGAAGAAGAACAAGAGGAGGAGGAAGGAGAGTAGACTAATCCCTGATACCTAAAAATACTGAAATAAATCATTGTAAATAATCCTTAATAATTCTCTATTATCTTTCTGTCATTCTCGATATATTTAAAATTTTCACAAGAGTTATTTTGACCCAATAAATAGTTATATCCAACACTTGTTTATTTTGTTACAGTTTTAAGCGTCGGTGTATGTGGTAAATAGAAATAGTATCAGTTTTACAGATATAATAGGGACCAGTAATAGATAATAAGGTAATAGGGACCAGTAATAGATATACAAAGTAATAGAGTATGGAATAGTTTTCAAATAGGAATAATCAAAGTTACGTATAATAAAAACTTTGGGTCTGTATCGTCTTCCTTCTGAGAAAATTAGTGGGTTTTCTTGTTATTATCACTAAGGTAGGAAATTATTGTTAAAAGGTTTTGTTAATATCATTATTGTTTTGTTTTTGTATTTTTGGTACTTTTTTACGTAGTTGTGTAGAATTTCGTAATTTTTGTGTACTTTTTCTTTTTTGCTTACTTTTTTGCGTATATTTTGCGTATTTTTTTTTCTTGCGTACTTTTTTGCGCAACCGAATGTGTAAAGGAAATACAATTGAACTTGCGAGTCATTGATAATCTGGAGTTGACCCCTGAGTCATATCAAGTGAAGCAAGATGATGGTGTTTTACCTTCGTCCTGGGAAAATGAATCTCCCCTTTTAAACAACCCGGAAAAATAAGGCAGGTAAATTGTCCATAATCTCCAAGGGGCTGGAAGTATAGTGTGAATGGTGTTGTAGTTCACCCTGGGGAAAGAAAATTCTTGGTTGGAACTATTTTACACACACACAGAGGGATGGACTTACACAGATACAGACAGACAGAGAAACACATACACACAGACACAGGAACAGACTTACACACACAGACACAGGGATAGACTCACACATACAGACAGAGACGGTGATACACACACACACACACACCTTGCTACAGTATCGGGTGTTAAGATGTGAGGTAGGAGAGGCCATGTGAAGTGTCGTGAGTGGCTGTCATGTCGCAGGTATGTCCGGGACTGACCACTTACTACCCTGGCGAGGTCGATACACTGCTGGAGGTCGTCTCTGGGAGGTCACGACGCTCACCTCCTCGGCTGGGGCGGGGCGGGGCAGGGCGGGGTGGGGGATTAGATAGATGACGTGGCAACATTTTCCAACGCCTCTCGCAAGTAGAACGTGACAGTGAACAGACGTAGATTTAATTGCCTTGTGTGTGTGTGTTTGTGTGTTTGCTTTTATAATGTAACTGTGTGTGTGTGTGGATGAGTAATAAAACACACACACGCTTCTTCCTGTCAGTCACGTGTTAATGAGCGTATCTTCGCTATAGGTTCCTCAAGCGTGTATGTAGATGCGTGTATACACCGTTATCCTGTGTACAGTAACAATTATGAACGCATGCCGCACCCTTTGAGGACGTGTGCCGCACCACCCAGGTATACTGGAGGAAGACCGCACCCTCAAGAACCGCAAGCGACACGCGGCTCTCTCTCTCTGCACGCGCGTTCACTCTCGTGGAAGAAGGAAAGCGAAAGTGAACTCGACTCGGAAAAACATGTGTGTGTGTGTGTGTGTGTGTGTGTGTGTGTGAGCGATATCTATCTCTCTGGTGTTGCAATAATGTATCATATCTTCCTCTGTCACGTCTGGGGGAAAATTATTACACTGAATCCGGGTTATGAAGGGCATTTTAGCTTGAGTTTTTCCTCACGATTGGAGATCCCAAAACCGCATTTAACTCCCTCCCTTAAACCACAACCCACACAATCCCACAAAGACGTCCAATATGGCGGCCAAATCACACTATGACTCTACCTCAACTAGATACCTTCACTTCACAGCAATTAAGTGATAATTTTGATCGTAACTGTAAAACCTTTGTGAACCATGATTAAAGGATTTGATTCAATACGTTATATTAAGTAGTATTTCTTTATCTGGTGTTAAGAGGATTTGTCTAGTTAAGGTAGAGTCTAAGTGTAAATTTGACGCCATTTTGGATGTTTTTTTGTGGTGTGTGTGTGTGTGTGTGTGTGTGTGTGTGTGTGTGTATTAGTCACCAACCTTCCCTGACTGCACACTACACCTACACTCCCTCATGTACACCCATAGATTCAGTTATTCTTGTCTGTACGTGTGTTAAGGTGTAGTCGTTTCCTTCTCATTCCACCTCACTTCACTTCCCTCACTCCTCCCCAACCCCCCCCCTTCCCACCCCTCCTTACACCTGTTACCCTTCCCTTCACTCCTCACTCCTCACACCTCACTCCTCACCCCTCACACCTCAAACCTCACCCCTCACCCCTCACATCTCACACCTCATTCCTCACCCCTCACATCTCACACCTCACCCTCACCCCTCACATTTCATTCTCGCGCGTCATAATCTCAAGTATTCTCGTGACATCCACTTCTGCCGTCCATAAATATCACGGTTGGTGAGGCCTCTGTCATGCAGGAGGTGAGTGTGTGTGGAGGAGAGGCTGAGAGGTGAGGCTGAGAGAAGAGGCTGAGAGGTGAGGCTGAGAGGTGAGAGAAATAGATAAGAGGCTAGGATAAACATCCGGCCAGGACATGTGTTTGGTTTTAAG